CTTCCTGAAAAATGAGGATGTTATCTTATAATTGCCTGCCCGGGATGAAGCTGGTTTGATGAGACCCGACCAATTTTGTTGAGATACTCTTCAGTCTAGTTACCATAATCTTGGTAAGCAACTTATATGAAATATTGCACAAACTAATCGGGTGAAACTGTTTGACATTCTTTGGGTCGGGAGTTTTAGGAATGAGTGTTATTAAAGTATCGTTGCAATCGTCCGGCAGTACCCCGTCCTCGAAGAACTTACTAACAAAGCGCAGCAAGCTTTCACCCACAATTTCCCACGTTTTTTGGTAGAAGCTGGCCGAGTATCCGTCAGGTCCGGGAGCTTTGCAAGGCGCCATGTCAAAAAGATTCTTCCTAACCTCATCAAACGTGATGGGCACATCTAACTTCCTCCAGTCTGAGCTGCTGATAGGGGAAAGGAGCCATGTTGTAGACGTTGACTACCTCTTCCTGATTCTTCCGAGAAAAGCTTAATGAAGTAGCTACGAACGTGGTCTGCCAACCTCTCATTTCCTGCAATAATCTGTCCATCCTCGTCTAACAGACTAGGGACTCTCAAGCTGTTTCTTTTAACCGCAGTTGCTGTGTGGTAAAAGCGTGTATTCCTATCTCCGGAGGTTATCCATTCTTCTCTGGAGCGTTGGAACCAGATTAGTTCCTCCTGGTAGAGGGTTTCATCAAGTTCCGATCGAAGTTTCCTGTCCAATCTAATTAGATTTGTCCTTGCATTCTGGTTGATTATTCGTTGGACTCCTTCTATTCTTGCTACCAACCTTTTTTTCCTTTGGAACACATTACCAAAGGTGTCCTTGTTCCATCTGATTAACTCCTCGGCTAGTTTCTTCTTATTTGTGTCTAAGTCGAGGTCCTTTTTCCAGATTCTATCTACCACTGCTTGGAAGGTCTTGTGGGTCGTCCATGCCACATTGAATCTGAATACTTGTGGTATTCTGACTTCCGGAGTCTTCAAGGTGTTCACCAAGAGTGGAGAGTGGTTTGATCCCACAATTGGCAGGTGATGTACACTAGCATTGGGGAATTGAAGTTTCCAGTTGACATCGCAAAGAACCCTATCCAAGCGTGATCCTTTAAAGGAATCTGAATTCAGACCTCTCATCCATGTATATTTGGAGCCTGTATATCCTAGGTCCAATAACCCTTCCCTGAAAATCCATTCGTTGAAGTCGGCACACCTTCCCAAGGCAAAGCCTTCCATATTACTAACCTCTTCCCTAGATGATACCGAGTTAAAATCACCCACTGCTACCCAGGATTGCCCTAATTCATGGGTGCTGCCAGTGAGATCGGAGAATAGTTGACGTCTGAGAGATTGATTTGGACTGCCATATACCACGGACAAGATCCATGGCTCCCTGCCTCTTTCAATCACTTGTGCCGTGATGAACTGAGGATGAGTGAGAGTGACTCTAATGTCGACTGAGCCTTTCCATAAGATCCAAATGCCTCCAGAGTATCCCACTACTTCGACCCTGATCCATTCATCGAAACCAAAACTCGAACATATCATATTAGCTTGGTTACCCGATACTTTGGGTTCCAAAAGACAAACAAAAGAAGGACAATGACAACGCATAAGGTATTTTAGGGTGCGCTTGAACGATTTAGATGTCGCACCCTGACAATTCCAGACAATAAAGATCATTGGGGAGGAATAGGGGCAACCAGCGCACACTGGCTTTGCCTATTCAAGGTCTCAGGGTCAACATGACCAGATTCTTCACACAAAGCATCTCCCTGGGGTTCTCCTACCCTAGCGTGTCCACGCATGAGGTCAGGAGGCTCATGATTGTAGCCCCTCTCAACCCCGATCATGGGGTCTGGGCGGTCATGCCTATGGTCCTTCTCCAGCATACTTAAAGGGTCAGGGGGTTCATGTTCATGGTTCTTATCTAGATCATTCATGTGAAGAAAACCCAAGTGTTCCTCACTATGGTGGACAACTCTGGTTGTAATGTTGCGTCCTCCATTCGAGCCATGAACCACTGTATGCTCTAATTCAGCTGCTGCTCTATTAGGAATGCCTCCTCTTCCGCCTCGTCCCCGGTAGCTTCCTCGACTTAACATCTAGGGCTGGTTTGGGGGTCCGCTTTGTTCAATTGCTCTTCTTTCATCATCAGCTGCTACCGGTTCCCTTTGAGGGCGGCGACTCCGATAATTTGTCCGGATCTGTTGAAGATCACCACTGGGTTGATGAGAATTAGCTGGAAACGGATGCGGGTTGTGACCATGGCCATCCAATCCTTCGCCTAGGTCGTACAGAGCCGCGAATCTGGACTGGTCATTTAGATCCTTACACGCTTGATCCGCACTTGCTGGGTCCGGCTGCTGATTGTCTCTGGGCAGGACATTAGATTGCCTGTTGTTGTTGCTGCCAGTTCTTCGTCTATCTCTACGTGTGACTAGCATCCATGCCCCGTATTTCTCCGTGGGCATGGTGTTGTTTCCTGTGGTGGTCAAAGTTGAGCCACCATTCTGGTCTTGCGTCGAATTTCCTTCGTTCCCGATGCAATTCTCTTGTCTATGGCCATAGACTCCGCACTTGAAACATACCAAGTAGATACCCTCATACTCTACTGGCCACTCAACATCCTCCAGGACAAACCGTGATAGCAGGGGTTTCGTGATGTCCATTTCGACGCAGACTCTTGCAAACTTACCTTTGGATGCAAGGCTAGTGGTTACATCAATCTTTATGGGCCGCCCGATAGACCTTCTGATCTTCTTGAGGAATTTCTCATCAAAGTATTCAATTGGAAGGGACGGGAATCTGATCCAAGCAAGAAGTTTCTCCATCTTGTCGCTTCTTGTGTCAAAATTCGGACGCCATTCTTGAACAGTCAAGTAGTGGTCAAAGACCATCCATGGACCTCCGTACTTGGCTGACTCATAATCCTTCAAAGATTCAAATTTGGCTAGAAAAAAGTCGTGGTTTAGCGCTATTAAATCGAACGGGGACTCCGCTCGCCACATGCATTGGAGTCTCTGGTACAGATAGGGATAACTCACCGTTCTTCCAAGAAGACGAATGATGAGCGATTGACGCCATGGCCGTCTCAAACGCTCTTTCTCTTCCTTGCTGACTTGGATAACTGGGTACCCGTTCCTTGTTTCAACTTCTTCCATTTCATCGTCAGAGGTTTCCTCTTCCTCTGCCAGTTGCTTGCCCTCTCGCTGGGTCCAAGCTTGATTGGGTGTCACCGCCGGCGTTTTCCACTGGCCGGAGTCTGGGGTGTTGGAGCCTTCTGCATTTTCCGGGTGGCGTTCACCCCGCCGTGGGTTAGATGATTCTTCTAGCGATTCGCGCCCTCTTTTGGTCTTCTTGGTGCTTCTTTCGAGGAGATCTTGATCTTCGGGTGACCTATCAGTCACCGCCGGGGGGGAAGAAATCGAGAAAGAACCAGATGCCATCGAGACTATTGATTAAAAACTAAAAATTACAAAATAATATCTATTCTATAATGGTATTTAATCATTCTTTACAATGAAATAACAAGATAAGAGTGCGGTAAAGTGGTTGTGAGTGCATTCTCTTCTTGAGTGTTCAAATCTAAATGTGAGTGTATATATGTATTTATTTTGAATATATTAATGTAATATATTGGTGACAAAAATAATTAAATTTAAATATTTATATAAAATAATAAATGAGTTGACATGTAAGTATGATGATATGGTAAAGATGGTGTCAGCATCACATCATCTATTGTCCTTGATTGTTTCACTTTTTAAAGTACATGGATTAAATTGAACAAAATTAAGATAGAAAAACTAAATTGAACAAAACACTATAGTATAGGGACCTTATAGGTACTTTGACAGATTTTGAGTGATTAATGAAAGCCATTTAAACAATTTGTGAATAAATGACTAAAAATCGTCATACCACAATAATACTAAGACCAATAAAGATATTTTTAAGAAAAAAAAATTACCATCATGTTTAACGTTATTTAAACAAATTTATTAATCTTCCAAAAAAAAAACAAATTTATTAACAAAGATTTAAAAAATAGTACAATTATATTAAGACGACTAGACGAGAACCTGAATGGTGTGGTTGAGTGGAATGGATTCATCCATCTTTAACTTTGGGAATGGAACAGTCTTAAATCTCCAGTTCAGCTGCCCCACCAAAAAGAGGTGCCTACAATCCAGCGAAGGGATTACTCCAGGCCAGTTATCCCCCCAAAAGAGGTGCCTACAATCAAGCGAATAGATTGGTCATTATGTCCGACGACTGTCCCACCCAAAAGATGTGCCTACAATCTAGCGAAGGGATTAGTCCAGGCCAACTGTCCCACCCAAAAGAGATGCGTCGGATGGAAACCCTAGGTATACCCCTGCGAAGGGATTAGTCCAGGCCAGTTGTCCCACCCAAAAGATGTGCCTATAATCCAACGAGTAGATTGGTCATTATGTCTTACGGTTGTCCCACCAAAAAGATGTGCGTTGGATTAGTCTAGACCAACTGTGCCACTCAAAAGAAGTAGTCTAGACCAACTGTGCCACCCAAAAGAAGTAGATAGAAACCCTGGATATACCCGAAAAGACCACTAGACGAGAATGCTCTGAAAACAAAAATAACTAAAAATAAAATGACACCTCTAAATCCTACCAAAAAATGAAATTAATTCAAAAGTCAAAAATAAATACCCTAGAAATTTCATACAATTCACACGTCTCAACCTACCAACAAAAAGTGATTTTTGACCAAACGGACACCAACCCATCAAAAGTGATTATACCTACCCACGTGATCGAGTTCGAAACCGGTGGTGTACCAGACGGGCCGAACGAGTACCTACAGTGAATAAAAAAAAAAAAAATCTTTTCCAGTCCAGGGATCAAATCAAATAATGCTATACATTAGCAATACGATGATCTTACAGAAACGAATATGCAGACACTTGAGACTGACAATGGAAACTGGATAGAACATAACAAGGAAATCAGCAGTAAAAACACAAATTTAAGAAGCAAAGGTATTAAGAAAACTCGATAAAACCAGTCACTTAATCCATAAACGTCAATTTGACTAGCAAACATTATTCGACCAACCGGTGTGAACAGTGCTTTGGAAGATAGACATAAAAACTAAACAGCTCCCTGCAATAATAAACATTGTCTCGACAAAACATACTGCAGTTCCTCTTACTCAAAACCAGAAAATGAAACAAAAATACAAAACCTTGCTTAGTATTTGTAGTCCTTCACATGAAGGCTCTCGGATGCAGCAGCACTGAGGTTAGAAGAACCTGCATATGTACCAAGAGTTGCCTCAGAGTTGGCTTTGCACCTTTCCAGGAAGTTAGCCTGAGCATTTTTGACATTTTCCTCTTTTCCACCCCAAATCTTGAGGGTGCTAGCCTGAAGAGCACGTCCAAAGGAGAAAGAGAGGTTCCATGGCTTCTTTGTCTTCAGCTTGTTCATTGCATTAAGGTTGACGGTAGCCTCCTCCTCACTCTGCCCACCAGACAAGAACACCACAGCAGGTACAGCTGCAGGCATGGTGCGCTGCAGGGCACGGACGGTGTACTCAGCAATCACCTCTGGTGCAACCTTGGCACACTCAGAACCGGGAGTGACCATGTTGGGCTTCAACAAGGTACCCTCAAGAAGGACATGGTGGTCGTTGAGGGCCTTGTAGCAAGCAGCAAGAACACGCTCGGTTACATCAGCACATTTGTCAATGTCATGAGGTCCATCAACAAGAATCTCGGGCTCAACAATGGGCACAAGACCATTCTGCTGGCAGATGATAGCATAACGAGCAAGACCATTGGCATTCTCATTGATGGCAAGCTGAGATGGCTCAGTCGCTCCGATCTTGAGCACAGCACGCCATTTAGCAAACCTAGCACCAGCCTCGTAGTACTTCTTGCAGCGCTCAGCCAGGCCATCAAGACCCTGGGTGGTTGTCTCACCGTTGGTTCCAGGAAGCTCAACAACACCCTTGTCAACCTTGATTCCGGGAAGCACTCCACCCTCCTTCATGACTTCAACAAACGGCTTGCCTGCAAATTAAAATGAGAGAATGAATACATCATTTTTACATAAATAGACAAGGAAAACCACAGAAACCTTCTATTGCAATCAATAAGCAATGTCATGTCAATAAATACGAGAACACACACCAGAAGCAGTCTTCTGGTAAAGAGTTTCCTCGAACAAGATAACTCCACTGAGGTACTGGAGTGCACCAGGGGTAGTGAAAAGCAGCTCACGGAGAGCCCTCCTGTTTGACTCAACATTCTCAACATTGATGCTAGCAAAACGCTTGCCAATTGTGCCAGTTGATTCATCAGCAGCAAGAATACCCTTTCCAGGGGTACCAATATAAGCGGCATTGGCAATGAGCTCATCTGCAGATATTCAAAGATGCACACAAATGATTCAACAACCAAACAGCATAAACAAATTACAAAGACAAAACTACATCGAAGATAAAAGGCAGCAAACAACAAACAAAGACTACACAACGCTCACAAGTTTCATTAGCTTAGTCAACTCTAAAAACAATAATCCAAATCAAAGCACAAAGTAAACTCCAATGAAATTATTTAGATCTTAATCCACCTTAAGCTGGATTAATTTTCATATTTAGAGATCAAATATTTGCAACTTGGGGGGACCGCAACTTAGATCAAATATATTACAATAATAGTATTTACAAAATCAGAAACAAAAACAATATTTCTCATCTCGTTATAGTGGAAATAATTGACAACAAACAAATAATAAGTACAAGAACATCAGATCTATATATACTCTATAAACTATTACACCAAAACTTAAAAGACCTCACGTCAACAAAACTACTGACACCTTAGATCTAAAACAGCACTATAGAACAAGCTTCTCATAATTTCATTTCATAGTGGTTAATACGATAATCACATAAGTTCAGATCAGCGAGCATATAAGCAACATCATACTCAACAACAGAAATGAAACCTTTCAAAAAGAAAGAGATCTGCACGGATTCAAATGGAAACAAACAGATCCAGATAACGAAGAATTAAGATTTCATATCGTTTAAACATATAACATCGCGAGATGAAAACATGAAGGAAAATAAACAAAAAAACAAGGATATATGGAATCTAAAGTAGGAATTTACCGGCGTATTTTCCTCTGTAGCACGACATGGCTGCTGTTTTGTGTAGAATACTAGAGAGATCGAAGGCGAGTTGAAAGAGAGGTTGGTGAGTAGCGTAAGGACTCTGGGAGTCAGTAGGTTTTATACTTAAAGAATCCAAGCACACATCGTTTTTATCGGCAATTTTCGGCCCATTACAGGTAGCCGGTCAATAAGGGGAGCGGATTCCTATTGCTTTTGACTCTTCTACCCTCTCCACAAATACTCCGTAATACTAAGGGGACGTTTGGTTCAGGTTATATAAGATAATCAAAATTATATTTGTTTGGTAATATAAGATTTCCATGTTTGGTTCAGATTATGTAACTTTTTTAAGAAATGTCAGATTACCTCTGCATTAAGCTTTTAGCTATTGGAAGAGAATATGAGATACCCTCCAATTTCTTAGGTAATTTCACATTCTCTTGTTTTATTACTAATTTTGGATTTTGTATTTTTTTAATCAATTTATCTTATTACCGTTGTCTTATTTACATATTTTAATTTTAGACCAAACACAGAAATTTAATATTTCCAATAATCTAACTTTATCAGCAATCTAACATTTTCTAAAGTAATTTAACATTCCGTGAACCAAACGCTCCTAATAGAATAATCCGAAATAGTAGTAACTTAGAGGAAGGGAAAGGGCAAAAATGTAAAGAGAGAGTGGGTAGGAGAAGTCAAAACAAGGGAAAGTAGACAATTGGGGCTGCTGCTGAATGGCAAGGAAAATGTGAAATGTCATCAACTTTATGGTTCGAGAAAGGGTGGAATGGTAAACTAAAACTAAGTGCGTCCTTAAAACGAAGGCGTGTTTGCTTTTGAGGCGCATTAGACAATTATTACTAATAATTTTAATTTATTAATTAAAAATCTCTATCTCTAAACGTCACATGGCAAGCAATTATCGAAACCTAACGCCGTGCGTGATTCGCACACAGCCTTGCGTAGGAATCCACGTTCGACTCGTGACTCGTGACGAGTCGTGATTAGAGCCGTTAACAAACTCTTATTAATTTGTATAATCGTATAGAATACGGAATGTCAAACTATATACCAGTATACCACAAACGTCCAAGCATTTACGACATTTTTTCTTATAATCAAATAAATATATACTTTTAAATATTAGAATTGTATATAATTTCTTTTTTAATTTTATTATCTATCTATATATATATATATATATATATATATATATATATATATATATATATATATATATATATATAATTTATTGATGCATCGGTAATTCGATAATTATTTTGCTCAAATTCAAGTAAGAATAACATCAGAAAACATAATCGATCCAATTCATTTTATCAATTGCACTATATAATATTCGTTGTTTTAATTTATAATTGTATATCATTCCAAATATTTTAAAATATTATAACAAATTCATTTTGTGCAACGCATGAGTGAAAATACTAGTTTTTTTAATTATCACTAAAATAAATATTTGCAAATTTGTAATAACGCTAATCTAAATACTTATTCTAAAAGCGATAGTTTAAATACATACTATTTTTAATTTATATATATATATATATATATATATATATATATATATATATATATATATATATATATATATATATAATATTTTATGCAATTTAAATATTAATTTTTATTACATTTTATTTTAATTTATTGGAGAATTTTGTAAAAATTAAGTTAAACATTTCAAATTCGAATATTCGAGTCGAATCGCATCGAATACTGAGATATTTAACTCGATTCGATTCATTTACACCCCCATGTGTAATTACAAGGAATGAATTGTGTACCCTTAGGGTTGGAGTTCAACCTTTTGGAAGAAGGAATGAATTGTATAATAACAAGACAATGTTGAAGATGAATATGTCCTAACAAGACAAAATGATCTGTTTATATACTAAAAACCACCCCGCAAAAGAGGGCGGGAGGTTACAACTATTTTGGACCGCAACACGCGCTGCAATGTTGCATGGACCGCGTCAAATGAAGACCCAGCACCCAGTGGCGGGAGGTTACAACTATTTTGGACCGCAACACGCGCTGCAATGCCCGGCACCCGGCCGAGCACCGTGCTCGGCCTGGGCGCGGAGCTGGCTGGGCTCGGCCCTGCCTGGGTCCGGTTCCGGGGCTCTTCCGCAATTTGAGTCGATTTCCTCCGGATATCAAAGCACCTTATATCAAGGGCACTATATATCAAGGATTGCAATTCTCTCAATTGCAAAGCTGATGGCCTAACATTACTCAGAACAGTGAAACCCCGAAACTGTGGAGTTGATTCTAGGAAACTGACTTGTTATGTGCCCCCAAAGGCAAAATCAAGGGCACTAGCTTCTACACGAAAACAGAGCTAGAGGTTGAAGGAGTGGAAAAAACCATCAAAGAAACTCCCCAACTCCTCCACCTTCACCGTGGGTGTTGTTAATAGAGGCATCAGCTTTCAATTTATAAAAACCAGAATGAGGATCTTATGGCAAAAGGATTAATAACAAATGAGTTCATTGGAAAATGGCAATACTATATCCCATTCTACTCCTTCTTTTGGCCATTTTATACAACAAAATTCATCTATATGTGACTGCAAATACATTTTGAATGCATCCTAACTGAAAACCCATCATCATAAACTTATTGATTTCAATATCCATTAACAAATAAACCACCCATCATCCCAAGCTTATTGAATTCAAATCCATACAAATAAACCAATGGGTGGTGCAAATGACCAGAATTTGTTTCTTTTACCAGATAAGACACCCCTGTCAAAAATATAACATACACAAGTTTCTTTTAGCAGATAAGACACCTCTGTCAAAAATACAACATAAAACACAACATTTACATAGCATCACCAACTAAAACATAAACACTTCTAGCTTATCTCATTATGAGTTATGACCATTGGTCAAGCATCCCAAAATTCTAAAACATAAACACTTCCAGCTTTTTCTCATTATGCCGCCATTGGTCAAGCATCCCAAATTCAAACCCAATAGAAGAATAAATATAGAATCCCAGAAGGCCAATAAAGAATAAGCATAATATCATAAGTTCACTTCCAAAAATAGGAAGTAGCATCTTGTTTAATGATTAAATCCAGTTGGTAATCTTCAAGACCACACAAGGAACATAGGACTGATAAAGAGCTTTTAAAATTCTTAACAATATAGATGAGATGCCAGCAGCAAAATGCATATGCAGTTGTATATGAGAAATGAGTAAAAGAAGAAAACCATTATCACATATATCATCATTATTGGAAGTTGCCAAGCTGTGATGTTGAATCATATAATCCCAGATAATAAGCTAAACATATAGTCCCAAATAACAAGCTAAATTGTGTTGGATCTACAGGTGACCATCAAATAGACATAAAATGCATAAGCAAATCCACTAAGGTATTAATGACAAGAAATAACAATAATGAGAATGGTGTGGCAAGTTAAACTTCAATTGGACATCTAATAGGCCAATTTTCTAACTTCAGACAAATCCTCAATTTCATGAACAACTCGTAATGATCCATCCACAACAATCTGTAAACACTGACTTCAACAAAACAATAAAAAGACATGAATATCAATTGCTTATGGGAAAAAAACTCAATTTTTTACTACTAATACAAATAATTTCACTATTGCGGAAAGTTTCAAAATCTATAGAGTGATCAAGCATTAAAATTTTATTCACAGCTAACCAACCTTGAAATATATGAGATTGGCCTGATATTAAGGTGCATATCAGTAAAATGGCTTGCCTTTCATAAAGCATATTGTGAAGCCTTGGAAGCCATATTAGAAACATGGGCCTGCATCTGAGCAGCTCTAACTTTTGAGGCTGTAGCCCGATGAAAGAACTGTTCGCGAGACAACAGCCTCACATTCCTCAAGTACTGATCAAATGGTATTGCACCATCCTGTGCAGCCTTGTCCAATGAATAAATGGCGTCCTCTATAGCCAAATCCGAGGCAGAGCAATCGAGCATCTGTTTAGAAAGAACATCAAAAGGCTCAAAAGCCTCATTAACATCCACAACCCCTAACTTGTTCAATTTAGCTTCATTGTCCTTGAGCCACCCCTCCAGTAAATCGGTGTTCATCAAAACCATCTGCAACTGCTGCTCCAATCCCTCTTTCTCATCCTGCATTTCCTTCAGACCTCTGTTCAACTGCTCCTCTCGCTGCCTCAATGCAGCTTGGGCATTGAACATGCCTTCCATTTCTGCCTCCCTGGCCTTCCTCAACCCTGCTATATCACTATGCAAGTTCTCCACTAGCTTATTAATGGCGTTCCGCTTAAAAACTTCAGACGGCTCATCCATTACCCTCCCTGAACCACCGCCACTTCCATATGGAGACTGCGGAAATACACGGGGAGGTATGGCAGGCCGGACCGCCGGGGCAGGGCTTGTCAAATGAGATCCAATTGACGCAAAATTCGCACTTGTAGAAGGACTGGGGGTGGGGCTAGGGCTAGGGCTAGGGTTAGGGTTTGGATTGGGTCTGCGCTGGGAATACAGAGGGGGATCGCGGCTAAAATAATGGCATAAATTGCGACCTAATTCAACAAGATTAGAACTAGGGTACAGCCAATTCTGAAGATACGGGATGGCAACGACGCCGGAAGGGTTGACGAAAGGATGAGCCCGCTTGATGATCATGTCGCGAGTAGGATTCACGAAGACCAGAGGCGGGTGTTGAGGGTAGGACTCCATGAGCCAGATGATAATGGGGATATTATACGTCACACCCTGGAACAGCATAGGGACGGTACCGTCGACCTGGAGGAGATTGACAGTACGGCCATCGTTGTGGGTGAAGGTGCCGGTCTTGGGCTGGAGAGAAGGGTAGGCTTCGATGAGGGCGAGGATGTGTTGGCGGATCATCCACTTGAGCTCCTCGGAGTAGGGAAGAGCCGCCGGGCCTCGCTGGGAGAGAACGCTGCTCAGGAATTGCTGGGTGTATTGGATACTGGGCGGGTGGGTCGGCGGTGGAACCATCGTGATCGATCGGAGAAGAGGAGAAGCGCGATGGATCTTGGTGATGATGTGCTCGATCAAAGTTCCCTGAGAGAGGGGAAAGAATCGGAGGTCGCTTAGCGAGATAGATTTCCGCGTAACTGCGTCTCTAGTAAGGAAAGCTGGGAGACAAATCTGGGAAATTTACGGCATCGCTGACGGGTTTGGGGTTTTTGGCTACGTTAATGAATAAAAATCTAGTATATTCTACTATATATATTAATATAAGAGTCCAAGAGATTTAGATCGGTTAAAAAAATAACAGTCAAATATTTTTAATTAAATGAATGGTTTAAATTGATTCGATTTTAATTTTTCTTAATTTTCTAATTTATTCATATGATTATCCGTTAATTTTTCTGTTAGATATTTTCTTTTTTGTTAGTTCACCGTTAACTTACTCATTAATTTTAATAAGAAAAGTCTATTGGCATAATTAGTACTCTATTTTACTCTTATTAAATTAAAAATAATAATTTAGTAGCTACAACAAAAAATAATACATATGCATTTCTTTACTTTAGAATTATGTATCTACCATGCCTTTATTCAAAAACAATTATTCATTAAATAAGAGAAATAATTTCATTAGTTACTTTATTTTTCTCCAATATAAAAATTCTTTAATTCATCCATTGATTATATTGGCTACATTGTCAATACAATGTCTTTATTAAAAAAAATTATTCGTTATCAATAAATTAATTAAGAGAAATAATTTTATTAGTTATATTGTCTTTATTTTTCTCCCATGTAAAAAAAAAATTACATTAAAATTCATCAATTGATTATATTCACTACATTGTCTATTATCTTTTTTTTTTTTGTGCACTATTTTTTAATTAAATATCAAAGTTATAATACAAAATAATGCTATATATTTATTTATCAAGTATTTTATTAATACAATGAAAAAATTAAAAATATATATATAATTAATAAAGTCAATCATAGTAACTACTTGAGGAATTTGTTGACAAAGAGAGTATTCAAATCACACAACAAATTGAAGTGAGAACTACCCGCAATGTCCTTGTTTGACAATCCGCAGTTAGCAGTTACCGATAGCAGATTTGACCAGCGAATTATATCAACGGTTCGTAAAAAGATATATGAAAAAATTAACTGTTCAGATTAACATGTAAAATGACATAGGGTAATAATAATAATAATAATAATAATAATAATAATAATAATAATAATAATAATAATAATAATAATAATAATAATAATAATAATAATAATAATAATAATAATAATAATAATAATAATAATAATAATAATAATAATAATAATTGTTTTAAAAAAATAAAAAATAAAAAATATAACTAAGCCAATCATATTAACTACTTGGGAGATTTATTGACAAAAAAAGTATTCAAATCACACAACAAATTGTAGTAGGAAACTACCTTGCAATGTCCTTGTTTGGCAATCAGCGGTTAACTGTTTAATATTAGTATATATTTAATATTTTATGCCCTAATTTTTATTTGCTCTCCCTTATGTCCCCTATTTGGTTTCAACCATACCTATACAATTATTTTATTGACAATTATAATCAATCTTGACTATATTATATTGCATTTGTAAACTTAGAATTACTTATTTAAATACGCAAATTCAACATTCAATTATCTACTCATGAACAATTCCCATATAATCTTGCCTTAATATACTTTAAAGTAATTATTTAAAACAAAAAAAAAAAAAAAAAAACATTGGGCATTATCCCAATCGCGCAATGCGCGTAAAAAACTAGTAAAAGAATAAGGTTCAAATTGACCACTGGACGTAACCTGAAAATGCAATTAGGCCATTGAACGAAGAAAAAAAAAAGTACAATTAGATCACTAAACACTCAAAAAACGTCCAATTAGGTCACTGATCACTCCAAATGTATGCAATTTCACTGGATAGCAGGTCACCATCAATTTTAGCAGGTTACCTGCTTACATGGCAACTGAGTTGGCATTTTTAATAATTTTTAATAATAAATTTAAAAACTTAAAAAAAAAAAAAAAACACGGTCACCCGTGGTTTTTTTTTTTTTAACTTTTAAAAAAAAATTATTATTAAAAATTATTAAAAATGTCAACTCAGCTGCCACGTAAGCAAGTAACCTGCTAAAATTGATGGTAACCTGCTATCATGTGAAATTGAATACATTTGGAGTTTTCAATAGCCTAATTACACTTTTTTTTTTTCGTTCAGTGACCTAATTGCATTTTCATATTAGGTTTAGTGACAAATTTGAACCTTAAATAAAGGTAACAAAATTTACATTCAAACTACATTACCATCAAAATATGTCATATATCAAAGTGTACCTTCAATTAGTAAAATTTTGTCATACATCTTAATTTTATTGAAAAATTATTCTTCCTCCGTCCTTAATTATTTGTCATATTTACTTTTTGCATGGATTTTAATACAACACAACAAATATTATTAACTTTTTCATTTTGCCCCTAAAAAATAAGTATCATTATGGGGAGGGAATTACAAGGGTCTCTATTACCAATTCATTTGTGCTATTAGGAAGTTGATGGAGAGGGATTGGCAATGCAGAATTAAGTGGGTGTATCATAAGGCTAATATGTGCATTAATTGGATGTCAACAAGTGCATAGGCTTCTAAACATGGCTTTTAAAATCTTAAAGTTTCGTCGAGGTTGGTGGTTTGTATGTGTTAGAACAATCGTCCCCAATTGAGGTCACGCATGCTGGTTCGATAGGTAATATTTTTCATTTTCAGTTACATTGTCGATATGATCACTCGTTTTTGTCAACTTTGAAGAAGTTATGCTCTGATCTAGAGTCTTTATTTGTCCTACAATGTGAGTTATGTGAGTTTTGCAAACATCATTGTGTTTCTTATTTTCCTCGTGTTAATAACAAAGCCGATGCTTTGTTTGAGTTAGTTCACTAATCACTCTGATGTATGGGGTCCGTGTGGGATGATGTCAAAAAGTAGTTTTAGATACTTTATAACCTTTGTGGACGATTTCTCTAGACGTACTTGGTTATATCTCATGAAGTCTAGAGATGAGCTATTTGATATCTTTTATAATTTTGTTGCTGAAATTTGAACTCAATTTAATAAAACTATTCAATTTGAGAAAGTGATAATGCACAAGAGTATTTCAATTCTCTTGATCTTTCTCTACTTATGTAGGTCAATATGGCATTATTCATCAGTCTTCTTGTGCTTACACCCCCTAATAGAATGCATGGTGTGACTGAGCGCAAGAATCGCCATTTGTTGGAAGTTGCTCATTCTTTCTTGTTTCAAATGAAGGTATCTATGTTGTTCTAGGTTGATGCTATTCATATTACTTGTTAGCTTTATGATTAATAAAATGCCTTCGTTTATTTTTAATGATCGGGTTCTTTATTCAATTGTATATCCGTCAAAATCTATGTTTTCCCTTCTTTGAAAAATCTTTAGGTGCACTTGTTTTGTAGATGATCTTCGTAACCAAATAACCAATACGAAAAACTTGATCCTAAAACTCTTAAATGTGTGTTCGTAGGGTATTCTTACACTCAAAAAGTCTATAGGTGTTATTCTCCAGACTTAGGTCGGTATTTTGTTTCAGGTGATGTTACTTTCTTTGAAGATGCATTGTTTTCAAAAAATGCTTATGACTATGTCTCTACCCCAATGTTATAAGATGATTTCCTAGAATACACAATTACTATTCCTATGTCTACGGCTCGGTATATTCCTAGAGTTACACCTCTAGTTACACAAGTCTATTCTAGGCAGCCAAGGAAATGGTTGTGTCGTCAATTACACAAGTATATACTCCTCACTTACCATAATCTTCGTCAAATGATTTAGATCATCTGATTTCCCTAAGGAAAGGTAAACGTAGTTGTTTTCATCATCATATCTCTTCGTTTGTTTCCTATAACCATTTGTCAGTGTCTTCTCATGCTTTTGTAGCTCAATTAGATTATATTCCTTGCATTAGGCTTGGCCTCATGATGGATGGAGAATTGCTATGGTAGAGGAAATGATTTCGATCTCTTGAGGACAATCAGACTTGGGAGTTGGTTTCTCTCTTAGGTGGTAAATTTGCTATTGGGTGTAAGTGGGGTTTTTTTGGGTAAAAACAAACCCGACGATTCTCTGGGGAAGTTTATATGGAGCAACCACATGGGTTTGTTGCTCATGAGAGAGTATGGGAAAGTGTTTAAACTGAAAAAGTATTTATATGACTTGAAATAATTTCTGATAACGTGGTTTGGGAAATTTAGTAATGTCAATGTTGATTTTAGCACATGTCAAAGTGCTTATGATCATACCATGTTTTCCAAACATACTAATCTCGGGTGTGTTTCATTAATAGTGTATGTTGATGACATAGTGATCACACGTAGTGATGCAAGAGAAATTGAGGCTCTCAAGTCTTTTCTCAAAAAGAAGTTTCATACGAAGGATTTGAGAGTCTTGAAGTACTTCCTATGTATTGAAGTTGCCCACTCTAAGAAATGTATAATTCTCTCGCAGAGGAAAGTACATTTTGGATCTTCTGAAAGATACTGAGTTGCAAGGGTCAAAGCCTTGTCAAACGCCGATGGATCATTAGAGTATTAAACTCATTGCTAGTGAATGAGGCCCCTCGATGATCCGGGAAGGTATATGAGGTTAGTGGGAAAGTTGAACTATCTTACTATTACCCGGCAAAACAACGCTTTCTCAGTAAATGTGGTGAGTCAGGTCATGAAAGATCCACTGGGATGCAACTGTTCAGGTTGTGAAATATATAAAGATCATAGGACTCTTGGGAAAGAGATCTTATATTGCTAGTCGGGAGAAATATGAATGTTGAGACATTTTCTGATGCTGATTAGGTTGGATCACCGAGTGATAAAAGGTCCACAACAAGATATTGGCACAACCCGCACTAATGACGGAGCCGGGACGGGCACATCATAACATCCTAGCTAGATACCAACCACAAGAGGGAAGGGGAATAATTTATATTTTTTTGATGATGATGATGATGCTTAATGTTTTTTACTGATTCTAAAGGAGCAGAACTGCAGAAGGAATTAACAAACCAATTTTTTCTTAGTAAATATCAATCCATAAAAGAAAACATGGATCATGGACAATCTCAACCCTGCACCCACCAAACTCCATTATATTTTTTTTGGAGAAAAAAACAGGTGGAAACACAAGAAAGAAACTAGTCATCAGGATTCTTACGAGCTGCAATAATCAACAAAGAGAACCCAACATTTTCCTCTTCTTTCTGCTCCAAATTCTTCTCCTCTAACCACAACCTGCTGTCCAGTCCCCTTCTAGTCCTAAACATGAACACCGCACCCCCGCCGCCACCGTCTGATGTCTCGTCGAACAACCACCCATGAACATCCCACATCATGTCCACCAACAATCCGTCCAAGAAAATTGTCTGGTTTCCTCGGAAGTTCCACTGCAACCTCTTCACCTGAATCACATCCCTCTTATCATCAACACCCACCCACAGCGCCCAGTTCTTCAATCCCTTCCCTTCTCTCGCGCACCTGATCGTAATATCATGGCTCGTCCCTCCCTCGCCGAACCGTGCCCTGCCCGAGAAAACACACCTCCCTGCAGAGAAATACTCGCACCGTGAAATCAACGATTGTTTCGCCACCTTCGCGTCAGAATCGCAGCATCTCTTGGCGTTTGATTCCTCGTCCTTGTCTCCGTGAAACAGGGCTATTTCTGAGTTGATCAGTACCAGGATGTAAAACCCTTTGACTGGTTCAGGCCCGGCATCATACGTAGCATTCGACAAATCCCAGAAAACTTCACTTCTCGAGCTGCACGATTCGATGGCTTTTGACCCTTTGATCTTCTCTATCTTCCCGGAATTCTTGAAAGACGAAGACGAACACGGCCAGTCGGAAATACTGATCGAAAACCCCCGGCTTGCTAGGCTGCCCCATGTGATCTTAATCAAGAATCTCTTCTCTGTCGAGAGTTTTACCTCGTACCGGGAAGAAACAGCGGTCTGGATCGAAGGAACCAAGTCATCAGGAGAAAGATCTGACGGCCCTGAACAGTATGAATCTGCTACTTTGATGGCATGTTCACTGTAACAACGCCCAATACTTCTCATGTTTTATTATCACCAAAAAACCCGATTTTCGAATAGTCCAGAGGGAATTGAATTGAAGAAGAACAATAAGAGGAATTAGCTTGAAGGAATTGAAGCCAAGGAATATGGCTATAATATGGTTCTTATCCCTTGCTGTTGTAGCAAGAAAATCACAAGTTTGAAGGTTGAGGAAGACAAGACAGGAGTCAATTCAGGTGCCTTTCTTCTGGGAACAGTTTTTCTTCCTCGGAGCCTTGTTGGAGTGTGTAACCGAAAAAAAATTGTTATAAAAACAGCTTACAGGCATTAAATATAATTCCTTCACCTTAACAAAAACAAATCTCAATCCTAATATTTACATATACATCCATCATTAACCAAAAGTCAAAAATTTAATCCTTAGCTTTGCGTATAGAGCAACCTTAAATCTCAAAACTAAGTCAGCTGTCCCACCCAAAAGAGGTGCCTACAATTCAGGGATGAAATTAATCATTGTGTCCGACAATGAAAATCTTAGGTATATCCAAAAAAAATATTTACATATAAATTAAACAGTCAGATGATAAGAAGAAGAATTCACTGTTAATTTTTAAATAAATTATTTATACTGACTTTTCAGTCACAGTTCATATACAATAGTATATATTTAAAAAACAAATGCAGAAACTAACAGATGGGATTAGTGCTACATGCTGTCCTAGTTTGACCTAATCTGATTCTGAAAATGTATTAAAGTAGTAATTTTTTTTAAGTGTTGGTTAATGACACTTAATTAGGAGAGTTAATCTATGCTTAAGACTTAATAGTGTCAGGTGGAATGGAAAGGTTAAAAAAAAGGTGGTTTGAAAGCCTCCTTTAATGATCATGTGAGAAAAAGAAGATTGAATAAGTAATATTGGTAGTGTAGTCTCTTGTTGGTGAGAGTAGGTTACAATACCTAAAACTCAAGACTTTATTTGGGTAATAAATAATATAATTATGTCTCATAATTTTAATTTAAAAAAAAAAAAAAAACTTCAATATGACCCTAAACTGACAAAATAGCAGTATTGACGGTTGAGCATATAATATATAAATATAAATGTGCAATTTAACTATCAGCTTAGTCTTTTAGTTAAAATACAACACATACTTCAATTTGGTATCAGAGTCAACCTCATGACAAAGGTCATGGTTCGAATCTCCGATTATCTTAAATATTTAATGTAGGAAAGCATTATTTGCATTCAACAATGTGTGTCTTAAATTCTAGGACCATGCTACACATACGTATATTTACCACACACAAAGAGACTCTCTTAGCAATGTGACTAATTGTGAGTGGCAATTGTATAGGTAAACATTTTCCTAAATTCGATTGCATATTGATATGCCAACAAGATCGAGTACTACTAATTATGTTTGTTTTAATAACTGGTTAATATAAAAGAATCATATAGAAACACAACTATTTCATTATATTATTATACTTGAAAGGTCACGGAATGTGACTGATGTCTAATTTCGTAGTGTGAATACAGATCCGCCTGATATTGTTAGAAGTTATCTCATATTTTTGGTGTTGAATTTCACAATTATCACTTGTGCTGGCCAGGCAGCAATTGTAGTTGGGAACATTAAATAATTTCGAAGTTGAGAAGTTTAGAGATGGAGACTTGATGGGTTTCCCTGCCCAGTTCTTGTGTCCATTCTCATCCAAACATGATTTAGAATTAAAGAGTGATGTGATATCCCACATGGAAGAGTCCCACATAGGATCAAAAGTGGACAAACAAGTCATATATTGATGATGTTATGTATGTGAGGTTGTTTTTTGAATTAAGAAATGGTGGTAGAAAAGTTGGTTTGGGATAGTTGCCTGAATCTGGAAACCATGATGCCTCACTGCAACTGCCAGTTGGAAGTGCCAAATTAATTCAATCATTTATCATTCTTCCTTTCTATTCATATATGTAACTGATGCTTCCTTTCAACTGATTCGTTCACTTAGGTTTAAATTTGGTATCTCATTGATTAACCATCCAAAGCCCAGTTTTTCTATGGAATTGTTAGGCACAAGTTAACAATTGTTGAGTATATAACTATTAATGTGCAATCCAACTATCAGCTTAAACTTTTAGTTGAGATGGAGCACATATTTAGTAATCGGCTACATATAACCATTAATGTGCAGGCTTATGGCTTATTACAACTATATGGTGAAATGATGCAGGAAATAAACATTATTCTTGTAAATAATATAGTTCTGTTATCTAGAGATTAGCCTTTAATATATAGTTCTGTTATCTAGAGATTAAGAAAATATTAATCATTGGAGAATAGATTAGCCTTTAATATATGTGCAATATGTTAAGAACATCACCAAGAGTTAGAATTTTTTGCCGATTTTTTCAGTGCCAAGTATAATAAAGAGGGAAAGATAAGAAGAAAAAGGTCACGAGGAAAAATTTGTTTATATATATATATATATATATATATATATATATATATATATTTACGCGCTTAGCTAGTGTGAGATGGGTGCAGCAGAAATTGGATCTCTTGAAAATGTAGTATTTACATGAGAAAAAACTTACTACAAATTTCACCCCATCTGTCCAAAAATTCATTCCAATTTGATGCTCTAATGTAAATGGTGTACTTGACTAAATAAATAAATAATCATATATTTACACACACAATTTCATATTCAATTTGGATTCATTGGGATTTTTCCATGAACCTACAAGTAGGGCAAGTAGGCATGGAATTAAATATTGGGAAACAGGAAAATGAGACAAAACACAGCATTACTTAAATATTTATATAATGACATTTCTTGTCTTATTTGAAAATGCATTATAAACAACAACAGAGTGAAAGGGAATTGAAGAGTTGATGGCGAGGAAGTACATAAAAACACAACACGCAGCACTGTGCTATTCTACTATTACAAAGCTTGTGTGGGTCAGATTTTATTATAATTTAAAAATATTTTTTAAAAAATACGTAATAACAGTTACGAGTGACTAACCTCCATCCATAGTAGTTTAATTTAGAGAAGTTTCAAAGTCATTTCATTTTACACTTTTTTCCGTAATTCAGAATAGTATATATTATGTAAAATGATATGTCTGACTGTGTGAGTACTCATTGTTTAAATGGCGCAATTACATCTGTAATTTTTTTTGGGAGTTTTCAAATTTAAAAATCAAAGCTTGAGTTTGAAAACTAAGATGAAAATTTTTGATGTTTTTTCTCCTGCAAGTTCAACACTTTTGTAGGCCCTATTTTTTTGTTTGTTTATTTTTTTAGTATTATTAATTTTGTTACAATACAGTCGTAGACCCTAGTTTATTTGAAATGGTTACCTTGTATTTAAAATTAGAACAAAAAATACATGTTGTTTTGTCCATTCGTTTCTTTTGTTCCAAAAATATATGCTATTTTGTAAACCATTCGTTCCTTTCGTTAGTTATGCCTTCTCTGATCTCTACTATATAAATAACAATGGAGAGAGAGAAGAAAAAGGTGTGAGAGAGAACAAGTCAAGTGAAGATCATTAGATCATCACAAAAGAAATAAAAGAAGAAAAATGAAACAAATTGTCATATTCTTCTTTAGTTCCCTTGTAATTTTACTATTCCTTTCCAGATGCACGGGCGCCCGTCTCCAGCCAACAATTCAAGGTATTTTCAATTTTTTTTGTTTCTAATATAAAACAAAAAAAAAAATAAATAAAAATCTAACACGGTATACAATTGATTTTTGAAATGTTAGGAAATGATAATAATTCATAAATTAAATTAAATTTTGAATTGTATATGCTATTCCTCTTTTACTAAAGAACGAATCAATAGTTTCATTATTCAACATAATAATTACTCAAAGTGTGAATGAATTATTAAATTAAAAACAATAAATTATTTCATTAAAATACAAAAAAAAAAAAACATATATATAACAATAGTTAATGACATTAACTTAATGCATATGAACTACTATTCATAAATTATAATAATTATATATAGTTAAGTCGCAACGTCCACACTTAATTAGCTTGCAACAAATTTCTGAAAGAGATATTAACAATTAATATAATCACAGCTCAACATTAATAATTACTTAGAAATTAAAGGTGCATGCTTGAAGAATTGAGAAATTAGAAAGCAAATACTTCTCTTTTTCCTTTGGGTTTTTGTTTATTGAACTCATTAATTAAGATATTTTATTTTATTTGAATTTATTTATGAATTGGATTAATTCATTTATTAATAGAATATTTTACACGATCTACACTACCAGTGTTCTCAGATGAACAGAAGATACAAGTTATTCGAGCAACTCAGGAAAGACCTTCTCTAAAGTCACAAGAAGACTTCTCCGCCGTAAGTAGGAATTAACACATCTTTTTTTTTTTTTTTTTTTTTTTACATTAAACTATTGATATCAATTATATTATAGCAAGTGTCATAAATGTGTTACGCTATATATATATATATATATATATATATATATATATATATATATATATATATATATATATATATATATATATATATATATATATATATATATATATATATATATATATATATATGGTACAATTTCATATGCATATAATCCATTCATATAGTATTATAAAAAATTTTGATATTACATATGAAACTCTCTAATCAACATATACATGAAATTATTTTGTAGCTGATGAGTTTGGAAGAATCATGCGAGGATAATGACAAAGACTGCCTCAGTAGAAGAATGGTTTTAGAGGCTCATTTAGACTACATTTACAAGCAAGGTCGCAAACCTAACCGCTAAATTATATTAAATGTTTTAATTAATTTTTTTATTTTTTTATTTTATATTTTTACAATACATATTATGACAATATAGCAAGCTAGAGAATGTGATATTAAATATGTAACCCCACTTAAAAACAAGTGATTGGAAAGTATATATAATGATGCATATGTGCATATGTATCGCTATATCGATCTTTATGTATATATATTTATGTAGAGTGTAAACTCGGCTATTTCTTTAATTAATTAAGTGATACTTTTAACTCTTTTTGGGTTACTTTATCATTTGAAAGGTTTTTTTATTTAATTTTTGTGGACAAAATATGATATTTGTGTCCCAAAGACTTGTGAGTTGTAACTACAAAGAACAACAATACTTGGGAATTAAAAGAATACGTTGGACTTTTTTTTAAAATGATTTCTTTTCTATATTATATCTTTATTATGTCATTTATGAGCATTTTTTGTGTAAGAATAAAAGATTAAATTGTTAGGTTATCAAATTGTCTCATAAATTAAAGTCTAGTTAGATAAAACTTGTAATAAAGGATCAAATGTGACAATATTAATAAAGTCATAAGATTAAACGTGACAATTTGATGAGACTAAAAGTGAACGGATCTCTTTTGTATATTATGTTGAATTCACTCTGATCTAAAGTCTTAACTGCGAAGAAAGTGAATGAATCATAATATTTGTACTTTTTTTTTAAAGGAAGAAACAGATTTCATTAAACAATAACCAACTGAGAGATAAATGAAGGTGGCATAGCAAACCACGAACCTATGACAGAGGAAGAACCTGTTACCCGTGCTAACACATGAGCGACATGGTTCGATGACCTTTTGACATGGTGAACGGACACGTTCCCTATGTCATTTGCAATGCTACGACATTGCTCCACAATCAAACCAACACGAGAGAGATCTAATACACTAGAATTAAAACGATTACAAAAAATAAGAGAGAGTCTGATTCTAAAATTAAATTATTGAAACTTGCAGCCTTCAACCAAGCTAGAGCTTCCTTGGCTGCCATAGATTCCGCCATTAGTGGATCACGATCATAAACAATACGAGAATTATGCGCCGCTACAAACTTGCCATTGTGACCCCGGACAATCACACCTACCCCCACACCATCTCCAAAAATGGCTGCGTCAAAGTTGCATTTCAGTAAATTGCAAGGTGGTGGTATCATGAAATTAGGAAGAGAAGAAAGAAGAAGAGCTCTGTGTATTGATGTGAAAGTATGAATGAGATCAAGGATTACAGAGACTTTGCAGAGAAACAAAAGAGAAGCAATGAAACAGTAAAACAAACTAACTAACTTCTAACTGCTATTTTGCAACTAAACTAACTGCCATTCCAGCTGTCCAAACTATACTCTAATACCCCCCCCCCCCCCCTCAAGCTGGAGTGTACATGGAATGAAGCCCCAGCTTGGAAACCAGATTGTGAAACACCATTGGCTGAAGGGGTTTGGTCAGAATGTCTGCTGTTTGGTTCTCAGTAGAGACATGTAGCAGTTTGATGATTCATTTCTGGACTTTCTCCCTTATCAAGTGGCAGTCAATCTCTATATGTTTGGTTCTCTCATGAAACACGGGGTTCTCTGCTATGGCAATGGCAGATTTACTATCTGAAAACAACACAGCTGCATCAGTCATCTTGACTTCAAGAACCTCAAGCAGGTAGATTAGCCATTGCAATTCACATGCTGCCAGGGCAATTGCCCTATACTCAGCTTCAGAATATGATCTTGAAACTGTGCTTTGTTTCTTAGATTTCCAGGATATCAAGGCATCTCCTAGGAACATGCAAAATCCAGTTACAGACTTTCTAGTATCAGGACATGAGGCCCAATCTGAATCAGCAAAGCCCCTTAGCTTTAAATTGGAATTTGCAGGAAAAAACAATCCTTGCCCAGGGCTGCCTTTGATGTATCTTAATATCCTATGAGCTGCCTGCATGTGGATGGTAGTGGGAGAATCCAAGAATTGAGATAATTGTTGGACAGCAAAGCTAATGTCAGGCCTGGTGATAGTCAAATAAAGAAGTTTCCCTATCAATCTTCTGTACACAGTGTTGTCTTTTAGAGCTGAGCCATCAGTTTTTGATAATCTATGTGCCTGAATCATGGGGCATCTTACAGGCTTGCTCCCAAGAAATCCTGTATCATGTAGAAGATCCAAGGCATATTTCCTTTGTGTCACAGAGATACCCTTCTGACATCTAGCAACCTCCAGCCCCAAGAAAAATCTTAGATTTCCCAAATCCTTGATCTGAAAAACTGAATGCAAGTGATCTTTTATTTGTTGTATCTGTTGCCTGTCCCTGCTAGCCAACACTATGTCATCAACATAGACTAAGAGAGCTACAAAAGTATCACCTGAACCCTTAGTGAATAAGGAATTATCACAGGTAGCTTGCTTGAAACCCATGTTTGACAATTCAGTAGTCAATCTTGCATTCCATTGCCTGCTTGTTTGCTTTAGACCATAAAGAGATCTCCTTAATCTACAAACTAGGCCTGGTTGTGCAGCTGTGAACCCTGGGGGAAGATTCATATAGACTTCTTCTTGGAGATCTCCATGTAAAAAAGCATTATTAACATCAAGCTGATGTAATTGCCATCCCTTTGCAACTGCTATAGTGAGGAGAGTCCTGATAGTTGTTACCTTGGCTACTGGACTAAAGGTATCAACATAGTCTATTCCACAAGTTTGAGTATACCCTTTTGCAACCAGCCTAGCCTTGCACCTTTCAATTGTCCCATCAGCTTTGTGCTTGACCTTGTAAACCCATCTACACCCAATTGGCTACTTAGATTGTGGAAGGGTAGTCAGTTCCCATGTATTGTTGGCCTGTAGAGCCTCTATTTCTGACTGCATAGCAGCCCTCCAACATTCATGTTTAATAGCTTCATTGTAGCATTTGGGCTCTTGAATGTGGAGAATGTTAGTAGCAAAAGCCTTAAAACTGGGAGACAAATTGTCATAGGACAGGACAGCTGCAAGGACATGAGGAGAAGTCCTAGCAACAGGTAGGCTGTAGTCATAGTCCTCAAGATATGCAGGTCTTGTTACCAGTCTGCTGGACCTTCTAGGCTCCACTGGGATCTGTTCTTGTTGAGATTGCATTCTGATAGAATGATCCTGAGTAGAACTTGATGCTAGAGTGTCTGAAAGCATAGGACTGTCAACATCTCTAGCTTCCTCTCTTGGATTCTCTTTCTGAAGGATGATATCTTCCATAACATTATTGTAACTTGGTAAAATAAGGGACTGATGTAAGTCCTGTTTGTGTGACTGATCCCCCTCTATTCTGCAAGGGAACATGTGCTCATAAAAAACAACATCCCTTGATATGAATACCTCCCTAGAGCTCAGATCATATAGCTTATATCCCTTTACTCCATTAGGGAACCCAAGGAACAAACACTTCCTGGCTCTAGGTGAAAACTTCCTTTGATGACCCTTGTGTATCATGGCATAGGCTAAGCACCCAAAGACCCTCAAATGAGAGTATTGAGGTGCCTTTCTAAATAGGATTTGGTGAGGAGTCTGCCCTTGTAAGACTGTGGATGGGAGCTTATTAATGATATAGACAGCATGTAAGATACAATCACCCCAGAAACCATCAGACAATCCTGATTGAAATTTCAAAGCTCTTGCAACTGCCAAGATATGACCATGCTTCCTTTCCACTACACCATTTTGTTGTGGTGTGTAAGTACATGTTGACTGATGAATTATTCCTCTGTCTTGAAAGAAACTGTCCATTTTGAACTCTTTTCCATTGTCTGTTTTAACACATTTGACCTTCTTCTCAAATTGTGTTAAGGTGAAAGCACAACAATTTTTTATCAGTGTCCTGACTTCATCTTTGCTTCTCATCAAATACACCCATGTGGCCCTGCTAAAATCATCCACAATAGTTAAGAAGAATCTATGTCCATAGATAGTATGTGTGTGATATGGCCCCCAAATATCAATGTGTATTAGCTCAAAACAGTCATTAGATACAGTGGTGCTATTGTGGAATGGTAGTCTTTTTTGTTTAGCCAGATGACATATATTGCAAACATCAGTTTTATTCACTCTCAAGTTTTCATCCAATAGGGATAACTGTTTCAACTTTTCATATGAACAATGCCCTAGTCTAGCATGCCAATTACTGCTAGAGTTACAGACATTAACTCTAATTTGTTATAGGCTAGCATAAGTAGAAATCTGAGGTCTTTCAAGATGATACAATCCTTTCTTCAAGCTAGCCAATCCAATCATCTTCCCACAATCCTGATCCTGTATTATGCAAGTGTCAGAATGTAACAGCAATTTGCATTTGGAATTTCTAATCAACTCACTGACAGAAATCAGGTTATAATGAAATGCAGGGACACAAAACACATTTTGCAGGGTCAATTTGCCAGCATATATGGACCCTATGTGTGTAATATCAACCTTATCACCATTTGGCAACTCCACAAACATACCTTGGACTCTTCTAGCATTTGTCAATAGATTATGATAGCACACAACATGGTGAGTAGCTCCACTATCTAATATCCAATTGGCCTTGCTATCAAAAGAGTGTTTAGTATGTTTACCTTCAATATGTGGATTTGGGGCAAAGTTTGCAGCAATCAAATTTGCCTGTGGTGCCATTCCACTGATCTCACTCAAGGGTGAGGAGTTGTGAGTTACACTATCTCTCTGTAAGACCTGTCTTAGCAATTTGTATTCTTCTTGGCTCAAAGTAACAGGTCCAGTGCCTTCATTGAAGGTTTGCTCAGCAGAAATGATCTGTGTCTGGTTGACAGATCCAGCATTCTTGCTTCTTGGTTTCCAGCATGGGGGGTAACCATTTTTCTTATAGCACTTCTCTGCTGTGTGTCCAGTATATCCACAATAGGAACATATGGGCCTTCTATTGTTATTGTTATTGGGAAACTTTCTTGCTACTAAATTGCCATTACTGCCTTGAGTGAACATAATGCTACATGCTTCTTGAGTCTGCACATTCATTCCTGAATTATTGAACCTCCTTTCTTGCTGTTGAACCATCATAAAAGCTTCATCAACAGTAGGGAGGGGCTTGGCCATCATGATTTGGGATTGAACCGAAGCATATGTATCATTGAGCCCTCTCAAGAAAACTGAAAGATTATCACTCTCCAATTGTTGTTCAAGAGTCTGTAACAGACCACAGTCACATCTCCTCTCACACTTGCAGGTAGGTAAAGGCCTTATTACTTGGAGCTCATCCCATAGAACCTTTAGCTTAGCAAAGTAAGCACTCACTGTCAGATCTCCCTGCCTTATTTGATGAATTTCAGCATGGAGATCAGAAATCCTAAAAATATCTGCCTCGCTGAACCTTGCCTTCAAGGTTTTCCATATTCTTTCCGCAGTGCCAATCCAAAGGATAGTCTGAGCAATCTCAGGAGAAACGGATCGCATGATCCATGTTGCAACCATATTGTTGCATCTTTTCCAATAGGGGTACTTAACTTCCCCAACATTCGGTACTGCGATGGTTCCATCCACGAACCCTAGCTTATTCTTGGAGAGAAGAGACATCTCCATCGCCCTGGCCCAAGGGTGATAGTTCCGGCCATCGAGAGGAGTGGAGACTAAGATTAAGGAGGGATTCTCGTTCGGATGCAAGAAGAACGGACTGGCGGTATCATTTGGATCGAAAATCGCTCCTGTGACGCCGGAATTTGTTGGAGCTAAACTAGGTGGTGCACTTGGTGTCGGAGGAGCTGCTCCCAGAGCCGTTGAGTTTGCGGCATTAGGTCTATTCCCCGCACCATTCCACGCCATTGAAGCTTATTGAAGCTCTGATACCATATCATGAAATTAGGAAGAGAAGAAAGAAGAAGAGCTCTGTGTATTGATGTGAAAGTATGAATGAGATCAAGGATTACAGAGACTTTGCAGAGAAACAAAAGAGAAGCAATGAAACAGTAAAACAAACTAACTAACTTCTAACTGCTATTTTGCAACTAAACTAACTGCCATTCCAGCTGTCCAAACTATACTCTAATAGTAACCAAGAGTCAGTTACCTGTAAAGGATTTATCATGCTTCCTGCCTTGACATAAGCCTCAAGCCACGTTTGGCTGGCCACATCCACTTGTCTCTTCAAAGTAGCAATTGACAGAGCAATATTACGCCACACCAAATCATTTCTTGCAATCCAAAGAAACCACATGCAAGCAAAAGGTCTTACAGTCGCCAAAGTGAACGGGGATTGCATGGAAGAATTTAGAAGATCAGATAACGTACCATTAGCAAGGATATTATTGATTCCCTAGACTTGTTGAGCCAACGGGCACAGACGGAGAACATGCTCTATAGTTTCGCAATCTGATGAACAAAAAGGACAACCACCACTAACCCAGACATGGCGTGTCTTGAAATTCTCACGGACTGGAAGTACATTACGCGCATAACGCCATACAAAGTTTTTAACTTTTGAACAGAAAACATACTCTAACTTTTGTACTTAAATGTTATAAATTTAATTTTTTAATATTATCTCAATCAAAGTTTTCTCAATATATACCGTTGAATAATAACAACTAGCCCGCATGGGTAGCTCAACTGGTCATAGAGGTGAAACTTTGGAAGTATGACCAGGGATCGAGTCTCACCAGCGGCAGTGAGGGGGGCTCGATCCCACCAGCGGCAGTGAGGGGGGCTCCTTATGCGCAGTGAGCACTGGTCTAACCTCCCAAATGCTCTGTCGGGCTGGGCCGGAGTGTGGTCACTGGTCTAACCTCCCAAATGCTCTGTCGGGCTGGGCCGGAGTGTGGGGACCCTTAGGGTTGGGGTTCAGCCTTTGGAAGAATAATAACAAAAGCTCATGGACAGGAGCGTAACATTCAATCCCAGTGGATTTGGGCTGGGCCCATTAACATAATTATTGGCCCAGAAGCACATCTTTTATTTATCTCAATTCTCAAAAGACAAAACTCCTTTCGTTGAGGAAAAAACCCTAAACCCTCCTCATCGTACAAGTCATTCACCCGGCGCCTAGCTCACTGAGAGTCCGGCTTTCATCCCCCAGTCTCTTTTTCTACTTGTTTGCAAATTTTCGGCTAATAATGATGAAGATAAAGACCCCAAAGAAAGGAAGAATCAGGCGAGAGCTTGAAAAACGTGCCCCTAAACTGGTAAGTTTGATTCTTTTGCGGAGTAAAATTTTGTTCTATTGTGCGCGATCAAGTTCTGTATGTAAAGGCTTTGATTTTATGAGGTTTGTGTCTAAGACGCCATGGATTTTAGGCTTCAAGAATTTTATTTTGATTCATATATGTATATATCTGCAGGTGGAAGGTGGGAAGAAAACTTTAATACTTCACGGTACTAAAACTAGCCATGTATTAAATGCTGTATTGACTGAGCTTTATCATCTGAAGAGGGATAATTCGGTTAAGTATAGCAGGAAGAACGACAATATTAGGCCGTTTGAGAGTGGCGGCGAAACTTCCTTGGAGTTTTTCTCTCAAAAATCTGATTGCAGCATTTTTGTGGTAAGTGAAACACACTCCAACATTTTTTTTTTTTTTTTGCTTTTATTTTGTAATTCAAGTTTAATATTTATCTGTACATGGTAAGTGGCGTGAATTTATTTGTGTATCTATTTGACTGGCATGGATACATACATGCTTAGATAACAAGTGTAATTCTTTTTTGTTAAGAAGATATAAACAAACTTTTATTTTGAGCTCAATTTGAAGTTTGTGTAAAATTCTGAACATTTTTAAGATGATAATTGTTAACTGTGTGTTCAACTGTTCATCAACTTAAAGGTACTTGATCTTGGTAACTCTTCTTCAAAATGAACATCATTACCTCTTTTTATATCTAGTTGCTGTAAATATCTGGATTTGGAGAAGAAAAAAAAAGTCTGTTCATATTTTATACGTGTTTACTCTTGAAGTAGCATAAGTTGAATCCCAACAATAATGTGTGTTTCTAACTTGTATGAAGAGAAAGATTCTTGTTGAGTTGAAAATGAGAGAAAATAAGTAGATGGTTTCAGTGCCCTTTCTTATGTCTTATATCCTGAGTTCAATGCCCACAATATTCTTTATTGTTCTGCAGTATGGATCTCACTCAAAGAAGCGACCTAACAATCTTGTTATTGGACGAACTTATGATTACCACATCTATGATCTTGTTGAGGTGGGTGTGGAGAACTTCAAAAGCATGGAGGCTTTCTCTTATGATAAAAAATTGGCTCCAAAAATTGGATCAAAACCTTTCTTCGCCTTCATTGGAGAAGGATTTGAGAATGTTGAAGAGTTGAAGCATTTGAAAGAAATGTTACTTGATTTATTTCATGGGGAGGTTTGTATAAGGTTTCTTCTTCACTTCCTGTTCTTCTTTCCTCTTCTTGAGTTTGAAGTGTCATCTTAAGTGGGATCTCATCTATGCAGGTTGTGACAAATTTAAACCTTGCTGGATTGGATCGTGTTTATATATGCACAGCTCTGCCATCAAATAAGGTGTTCTTAACTCATTGTGCATTACGGCTAAAAAAATCTGGCACAAAAGTCCCTAAGGTAGAGTTGGTTGAGGTTGGCCCATCTATGGATTTGGTAGTTCGACGAAATCGTCTTCCTGATGAGAGATTAAAGAAAGAGGCTATGAAAACTGCTCTTGATAAAACGAAGAAAAAGGTTTGTCAATGACGTTACCTTTCAATTGTCTGTATCACGTCTACAGAAACTGTTGTATGTTGTTGCTGATCCTGTTTCCATTTTCAGGAGAAAAATGTTGTAAAAGATGCTATTCAAGGAAAACTTGGGAAGATTTATATTCCTGATCAAAAGGTAAGGGAAAGATGTATTTTAATCTTTTAATGATCTTTACATTAATTGGTAGTGAACTATGAACCATGAACTATTACGTATTTATATTATTTCTTGGACATTGATTCTTAAGACAGAGGGTGATGAGGCGCATCAATTATATGATTTATAAGTGCTATTCTGTCCTTTGGGAGTTGTGAGATAGAACTGTCCAGATTATGTGTCATTTCAAACCAAATAGGAGCATCCTGTGACTAATAATGAGATGATCTCTTTGATTTATATTCTGATTTTATCAGTAGTATGAAATATCAATGTGCAGTGCAGTTATAACAGATGCAATTTATGAACTGCTAATGAATCCTCTATTACTCGTGCTGATAAAGCTGCAGCTTCTATACTAAGCCAGTCATTAATTGCTGACCTCTTGTGTGTGTGTGTGTGTAGGTTGGGAGTGTGCCACTGCCTCACAAAGTAAAAGGACTTAAGAGGGAGCGCAGGGAAGCTAAGACGAAGAGCGGCGGAACAGACCAGCCTGAAGAAAAGAAACAAAAGATGGATTCTGAATGATTCTTATTTTGCCAGTAGGTAGTGTGGCCTTTTGAAGGTCTTGCTATTTTTCTTTTAGGTCAATGCAATTCTAATTTTGCATTTACCAATCTGTGTCTGTGCTGTTCTACCAATCTAATTCTTGATTTTGCTATGACGGATGGATATTTTATGGGTTTATTACTTAACATTCCATTTTAAATGGCATCTAAATCCATACACATACTGTTTGAGGCAACGCCCGCATCAAATGGTCATTTTTGTACTCTGGGTTAAGTCTATTTTGTATCTGATATGATATTGGTGTACTTGTTTCCAAGGAATATACCTTTATATGGTTGCTCATATTGCTTTAACAATCCATTTGCTAGTTCTGGAGATTCTGCTTTGTGATAAACGAATTTACCTGTGATTGGGTTGCATAGGCCATAGGGAAAGACATGCTATTCTGAACTAGGTCTGGAATTGGAACCCTGAGATATTAGATGCGTATCGTATCAATGATTGATATTCTACCGTATCGTATTCTGGCTAAACTCTGACGAATGCTGATTTGTTGCCGGAAATGTGGCTGGAGTTTACCGTATCGTATCAATATTCCGGTTAACTCCGGCTAATGTTGATTTGTTGTCGGAAATGTGGCTGGAATTTGTTGGAATATCTATCGGAACCCGAGTGACCTGTAATAGCAGGTCACTAATTGATTTTTGGGTTTTATTGCACTAAGATATGATATTGATGAGTTTAATTGTAATTTTAAAAAATTTATGAGCCTAATTGACACTTTTAGGTAAGAGCATCCATAATAATTGATCCCCGTTGGAAGGAAAAAAAATTGATTAAAAAAAACATGTCATTGTGAGGCGTGCCGCGCCCCGCTGGCGCGTGCAGCTGGGCCCACTCTTGCCATGCATGAGTAGCACGCTGCCCACTTGCTCGCTGCATTATCTCTTTCTTGCATATGCTTTCCAATTTTCTCTTTCTTGCCTCCCTCTTCTCCAACAAGGTTTCTTTTTTTTCTTAGAATTTGTGCATTATCCACTATTGTGGATGCTCTAAAGTTTGATGGTCTATTTGACAATTATTCCTAATAATAATAATAATAATAATAATAATAATAAGAAGAAGAAGTGGTGTGGTAGTTGTGATATTGCGATGGTGGTGGTGGAGTGGTTGTTGTTGTTGTTGTGTGGTGGTGTAGCTGTAGTAGTGGTAGTATTAATAATGAGTTAATACCCAAAATCGTCCTCGACTATAGTGGTTTTTCTCAATTTCGTCCTAAACGACTTTGGTGACCTAATATCGTCCCAGACTTTTGTGTTTCGCTCAATTTAGTCCTCCATTTGTTATTCCGTCAAATTGGTGTTAAATAAAGAGACAATTCAGTAATGTCAATATTGATCTCTCTTTACTTTCAACTTGTGAAGTGCGAAATTCCTTTTTCTTGTACGAATTACACCCAGAATTACTCCCGGACCTTGCAAATCAAATTTTATATTCGCAGTTTTAGGAGTAATTTTGGGAGTAATTCATAAAAAAAAAAGGATTTCGCAGATCACATGTCTATGAGTAAAGAGATGCCAATATTAAAATTACTGAATTGTCTATTTATTTAACACCAAATGGACAGAATAACAAATGGGGGACTAAATTGAGCAAAAACACAAAAGTCTGGGACTAAATTGAGCGAAACATAAAAGTCTGGGACGATATTAGGTCACCAAAGTCGTTTAGGACGAAATTGAGAAAAACCACTATAGTCGAGGACGATTTTGGGTATTAACTCTATTAATAATAATTGGGAGACTAGCTTGAAGAGGAATGAGAGAGAAGACAGAGACGATAAAATAAAGAATGTGAAAAATGTCTTTTGATAAAAAAATATAGGAAGACATTTTTATGTCAATTTGGATAATTTTTTTGTTGACCATAATGAATATTTTCTTTGGACTTCATTTTTCTTGAATACCTAAACACATGAAAATCGAGAAAATAATTTTCGGAAGTCATTTTATGAGTTCCTAAACGAATTCTTAATGATATATTTTTATACATTAATTTTATTTGAAAAAAAAATTAAGTTAAATGCCATGTTTGGTAACATAGTTAGCTTATCGGTCAATTTTGGCTTATTTGACCATTATTAACTTTTTGAATTGGTTAAACAATCAATATGAGTGTTTGATTAATTAGCTTTTTGTAACATTTTATTGCTCCAAAATGCTAAAATTCTAAAGCTGTTTAAAACATTTTTTTTTTCTATTAGCTTTTTGATAAAGTAATTTTGCATATAATCAACTAATTTACCAAACAGTTCTTTACAATCAGCTAATGCTATCAACTACTTAACTAGTCAAACCCACTAAGCCAATCAACTAGCTAACCTCTATTTACCAAACACCCCCATAATATTTTTTTAAATAATAATATTTTGAGTGGCCTATTAATCTTTTTGGTTTAAAATAAATTTATCTCATCACTCAAAAGATAATAATATCTGAGTGCTTGTTATATACACCATTAACCACGATATAATTATTGGTAACACGCATCTGGAACAATGTTTAAGGGCATCCTCAATAGTAAAGTTTTTTTAGTTTTTTTTTTTTTTTTTTTTTTTTTTTTTTTTTTTGTGTTTTTTAAGGTGCTTACTAGGAGAGAAAAGATGGGAAGAGAAGAAGTAAAAAAGAAAAGCAGAGCTGATAAAAAAAACAATAGATAGACACGTCCGACTGGGCGCTTTGTTGCGCAGCACGCGAGTGCTGTGCGGTTGTGCGAAGTTCTTAAATGTTGGTGGGTGAGTGTGGGCCCAACAATCTGAAAAACTGATAGACTTTTATTTTTCACTCTCCTCACATTCTCTCCTACATTTAAATTTCATTTCTCAAAAACCTAACAAAAACTACTATTGTGATGCCCTAAGCCCCCAAAAAGTTAGCGAACTCTAAAACGAGTTTGGCGGCAAAATGTTCCAATTACACGGATCTCAACGTCCTCCACCCTTCGTTCACCCCCGCACACATCCATGTGAGAAGCGAGCAAAGCTTGGAGGGTTTTACTTCCTAACAAAAATATTCAGGTACGAATATGTGCATACTCGTATCTTCGTATGTATCTGCAATCTGTTTGATAGTATTTCTCGAAGAAACTATGACAATAAATTGATATTTGCACATGAATCCTGTACCTGCACCCTTAATATCCCAATTTCGCTCGAAAATATGTAAGCATTCAAAGAAAGTTATTGAAATGGCTACAATGCAACTCGATTACATGTCCTGAAATTAAATACTAACCACTAATTGTAACTTTTGGTGATTTTTCTAGCTAAATGGGATTTTTTTTTTCTTTCTGAATATCATCTTCATTCTAGAGTTCTGAAACACATGTATAACTAAACCAAATGCCTATTTCAGCCAGCCAGCATAGTTATTTCAAATGGCAAGCCACTCTGTTCTGAACTTGTGCAAGTATTGCTGTATCAGTGGCTATGTTCATGCCCAGTCTCATCTGCCTTTCCTTTAGTCTTAGCCAGCTTGCTTGCTGGGAAGTGCAACCTAGCAATCAGTGGTCGAGGTGCTCGTGCCTTCTGGTCGAATCCTCTAACACAAACATACCCTGATAAATGCATTGGATAACTAGTTAGTAAAAAGTGAAAGGGATAAATATGCTGAAAATAGTATGTGTAGATATGCAAGTTTGTAACAGATTTATGCTGGGAGCCTGGGATTATACTCTCACTAGATACATGGATGTTCAGTTGACTTCAATCATTAGGAAGTTTTAAGTAAAATTACTTGGATTTGGACTATTAAAGTTTGGAATTTGACATCTTCACATACCTTCCCTGAAGCAGTATTGGATTTCTTTTGTTGATAGGCCTAATGTAGAGAGAAAAAACACATCAAAATCATTTATTCTCAAAACTGTTTAAATAAATTAGGGCACACTAGTTTATCAGTCATTTCACCTTTGAATATTGTTGGTATTGAGGTTCCAAAGAAAACAGTTTTTCGAGGCAAATTCCACAACCAATCCCTTGGAACATCAATTGGCTTGAGACTGGACTCGTGATCAGCAAATACCTGGGAAATATTTTTTCTACTTTTAGAACCTCATCATTGTCACAATGGGACTAATAAAAGCTTAGAGTGGAAGTATTTTACCTCGTTAACCTGAAAGTATGTACCATTCAAAGGAAAGCTTCCTCTCATAGCTGTTCGGCATGGTATCTATTTACAACAATCTTATTAGATGATTGGTCCAAAGAAGATTGTTTATATTTGTCTTTCATCTATTGGCTGGATTTATCTAAGAGCATTATCACTAATAGTTCTATACTCATTATTACCAGAAGTGTCCCTCGAACAGTCTGGGAATGAGCTTCTTGTATACAATTGCATGCAAAACATGTTTCCTTGTTGCATAGTTCCCCAGATTCTTGGGAGCTGCAGTGTCTTTCTGGTGGCTGAACAGAATTTGCAGTTTCACCTGACATGTATGCCATTGCATGTTAAACTCAGCTGAGCAAGCTGAGCTAAGCCTTTATCCTGGATATCTATTTCTCAATTTAGTTGTTTTTAATATAATGCTAGTTCAATTTTAATCCCCTGCGCTAGCATGTTTTCTTAACTTCCAACCAAGGGAGTTTCATATACCCCCTTTTCACCTAGTTCCTACTACTATCATGAAATTACTCCTTGTAACTGTGGCATGCATAGGTCTGCTATACTTCTGTTATAAACACATGCTTTTTTCTCTAAAAAAATAAAATAAAATAAAATGTTGAAGCCTCTTCAAGAATCAATTTGCAACCTACAACTTCTCTATCTCTCATAGTTTTCCCTGCTTTCGGGCTGCATATGCCATATTCTGAGCTTAGATGCTATAGTCATTCCCTTAGTCCCAACATTCCATACCTGGTTCATGAAATTCTAACCATGGACATCAGCATCCAGGGTATAAGCCCTTGGACATCTGGGGTTTGCTTTCTTTACACTAAAATATACTCAGATATTTCAACAATTTGCAATACCTACAAATTACAGTGACTGAGGATGGAATGCTGTGCATTGACACATTATGAGATTTATGGTCTATTGTGTATCAATGAATCAAAGTTTTGTTTCATTACCAGGTGTCCATATTGCTAGAAGGTAGGAACATGGATCATCTGGTTCTCTTTTGTCCAACTGCAAAGAATTATAATTATTAGAAGATATTAGTTATAGTACACTTACAACAGACAACATAAATAAGCAAATGCAATCACTGACCTCTTTCAGAAGAGGATGAGAGTCTGGGAGCTCATAGCTGTAAAATGGGGAAATAAGTTAAGTAAGCATTATTAATTTCACAAGCCACTGCCACTGTTCCACTGTGTATAAGAGGAAAACTTATATTAGTTTTTATAAATACGTTTTTGTAGGCTGTACTTACACATAATGTTCTGTTTTGAGCCGACTAATATGTTTGAGTTTAGGTGTGGGAATGGATGCAGCTTGTGGAGTTAAAGTAATCAGAGCCTTTGACATTTCAGCTTGAGTAAGTTCCATATTGTTTTCCACAAACATTTTCAAATTTTGAACGAACTGTGTCATATTGAGGTCAATCTTCGGAATTTCATCAGGATCATCACCATAAGTATCTTCAATATCTATTTCTAGTGGTAGTTTCTCTACCTCTGGTGTGGTAGGCTCTTCGACAATTGGCTCGGGTGTTGCTGGCTCTTCAATAATAGGTTGAGAGTAGCTGCCACCAGACTGTGCTTCTGATTCTTCGGCAGTCTGAGGTAAGGGCAGCTGCAATGGATTGGAGGCACATATTGGGTTGTGTTCAGCTGCTCTGCTTTCCATTATGCTTACAATGCCTTTTTCCTCTGGTGCTGGAAGTGTAAGCCTTGCGCTGCAAAAAAATAAAAAAAGTATTTTATGCATGCTTTTGTAGTAACAGGAGAATTCTCCAATTTGGAAAACAAAGTTTTCTATTCAATGTGAACTGTTTTCTAATTTAGTAAAAAGAAAAGAAAAACACTGTTTTTCAAGATACAGGAATTTTGAAAATGTTATAAATGTGTTCCAAAATTTCCAAATGCAGAAACATACATGAGCCATCACTCAGGATCACCACCATCTACTAACCCCCACCCCCATGCCTACCTCCCACCCATCTACTTATCCCTTCATCACTACCTTCCTATCTCCATCACAAACCTACCTACATACCTTCATCACCACTACTGCCATTACTACCCACCACTAGCAGTGGTGCATTTATATGAAGAAAGTGATTGATTTTCAAATAATTTCACACTTTATAAATTGGAAAATAATTGAAGTTAAACATATATTTTAGTTTTCCTATAGAAAGTGAAAACATGAAAAACATTTTCTATAAGTAAACAGGTTAGATTATTTATTTATTTTTTGTTTTGATGTTTTTCCACTGAAATGGTATGCTCATGTTCAACTACTTTGTATTTTTATGTGTTTAGGAGAATCTACACTGGCTTCCCTTATGGGAAAAACAAGCTTGTATGGGTCAGCACATATGGATATTTGCAGAGAGTATTTATCAGATAGTTTCCTTCAACATGCCCCCAACCATGGAATAAAAACTTTTAATTTGCAGGTACACTACATGACTACAGCCTTGGTGTATAAACAATAATCTGAATAATGAAAGATGAAACAGAAAATTTAGGTCCAAGAAAGCACAAATAATAATGTACCAACCTTGCAAATGCACTTGCAAAATGTCTGCATTCTCCTCTCAATGGACATGCATTACAATTTGGTTTGCTTTTTGTACAAAAGACCTAACAACATTGGAAGTGATTGGTGTTAGCATTTCATTGAAATATTATTTGGCACTAGATGTCATCTATATCATTGACATACCTTTCCAAAGGTTATCATATGGTAATGAAGCTCATATCTGTAATTTGGTAGAATCTTAAATCAGTTGCTTCATTACATAATTGAAAGACAGATTTCTTCATTTACTCTCAAAGCATAGGTGGTGCAGTAACATGATAAATTCTATATTGGTGAATATATTTAAGCTGTACTTACAAAGTTTCTTGATCAAGCTTGCAGAGCCGTGGCCAAAGATATTTCTGAATGGATTCCAATATCGGGTACCTGTATAGTTAGGACAATCTCAGTTTTCACTGCCCACAAAACAGGAAGTTCTGCAGTGGTAAAATGCTTACATCTCTAGAAGATGCAGTTGTAGTGACTCGGGCAATGGCTGCAGAGGCACCCAGCCAAGTCTCACAGCAATACGCCCAACATTTGTGTCAACCTTATCATAAAATTTATATGTGAGTAAATTTCCATCATAATAATTCATATACTATCACTGATTGAAACTTACTGGGAAAGCCAGATGATGAAGTGTCAAAAGTCGCACACACTCCACACTCTTCAGACCCAACCCCTTGAAACTCAATAGATACTCTCTGTAAAGATATAAATGCACCAAAGTTTCTAAGATACTTGTGAATTCAAACACACACACGCGTTGCGCACACACACACGCGCATGCACGCGCACACACACACGCGCATGCACGCGCACACACACACACACACACACACATATATATATGTGTGTGTGTGTTTCTGTGGAGTTCATGCTTATCTTGAAAACAGTGCAATCTTACTTTGCTTTGTCTGGTGGAATATCTCTTAGCCATTCTAGATCAATACTTCCATGTTCTCTAACAAGACGATTAAGGAAATTCTGCAAAATTTTTAGCATTGTTAATTCACTAATATATGGAAACATGAATTTTTGTCCTTGCATTATTGGAAAAAAGCTGCAGATTTACAATTTATGGATGTACCTTTATTCTCTCTGCTAGCACGTTGTGCATTCCCCTTTCTTTGATGCTTTCAGCAACCTCGCCAACATCTGCAAGCCTTACTGCTTCCCAGTCCACAGTGTCCATTGTGTTCACTGTTCTCTCTCTTTTCTTACCATTAGCCTGTGCCTGCTGTCTTAAACTCTCCCAATGAACTTCATTCTGTTTCCCTTTCCCAGGTCTTCTCCTTTTCGCATTAGAGGGATTGGTGCTTGTTCTATCAACTATGTTACCTAACTGATTGTTTTGGCCATCTAAATTTGACTCCATAGACCCATGGTCAGATTTAAGTGAATCAACAGATATGCTGGGTTGCTCTGTGATATCTTGAATTTCCAAAGTCACAGGGCCATCTTGTTCTACCTTCAGGTTAAAGTTTCTTTCTTCAATATCAATCTGTGGCTCAACGTTGATTCCTGAATCTTCAATTTGATAACTTTCCGGCTCTTCAATAATTATACTTGTTCTCCCTTCGTCCAGCTTTGCACTTCTACTTGACTTGAGTGGAAATTTTGCAGCAAGTGCCATGAAAGCAGAACTGTGATAGTTGGTCAATTTCTATATTGCAACTAGTAGTTTTTATTTACTATGAGAAGGCTTAGAAAATAAAAGTCAAAATTATAAAAGCAAGAAGTTAGCAGACCTTGAGAGGTGATCTGAAACATTTTGAGTAAGAAAAACTCCCACTACAGAGTCTACAACTGATCCTTTCCAAGGAGAAAAGCGCCTGTCTCCTGTCCCATCGAAAACAATAGGGAAATATTAGTTTTAAATCTTAAATGGAGTATCAGACATGAGCTGTTATTTTGTCTCCAATGTTATCCCGTACTCTAGTAACAAAGGTGAAATATCAAAGGTCTATAAAGTAAATGGAAAACAAGCTGATGAAAACTCTAAAACATACACACTTTTAAATAGCATTGTATTTTGTGTCTAAAGTAGAAAATGAATCTATGAACAGAAGTTCAGTTTAAGCTCTTCAAAATCTATTGTGCTCCTTTGGTCCTAGTTTATGACTCTTTTTTGGGGGGATTATTTCATAATGTTCAAAATATTATACTCCCATAGTCCCAAAATATAAGTGGTAGTTGTGTTTGGCATGGGTTTAAAGAAACAAATGACATGTAATATACTTTCCAAGTTTGCACCTTTATTATTGTGTTTGTAAGTCTAAATCAAATTGGACCCCCTTGTTAAATCATTCTAAAAATTTAAAAGGCATAATGAGTAAATTAGAAAAAGGTAAAAAGTTAGTAATGTTTAAATAGTAAAATGGACATTATTTTGGAACATACTAAAAAGGGAAGTAGGATAAATAAAATGGGATAGAGGGAGTAGAATACTGCTTTTAACTTGACAGAATTCCATGATTAGGTTCTATTTAAGGGGATTTATAGCCCAATGGCATTTAAAATCACTTAATCTAGATGGCCTCTGGGGATGTTGAAGTTTGAATCATTACCCTGGACAAGACGCATACGTGCAATAAATGATTCTACTCTTCCATGAAACACTTGTCGCTCTCCTTCCCACCATTTTGCCTTTGTCTCATCTGTTCTATGTATGCCTTCACTATTTATATCTTGCATCAGAAGCATCCAAACTCTAGTTGTCTCATCATCAAGTTCAACTTTAGCCCTTGGTTGACGTTTTCTAATCTGACCAAATGCACCTTCAAAAGGCACAATAGTTCCATCTAGTTGATGAAGAACCATGGCATTGCTTTCTGCATTTATATTGAGATGATTGAACTGTTCTACAATTTGGTCAATTTCATCAACTGCATTTATATTGAGACCTGCACATGGTGTTGCCTGACAAAGTAAGCAAAACACAAATAGTTCTTTATCTAAAAAATGATACTGTGTGCTTTACATACCATTTGCAGTACTAATGGATTGATGTTGAGCATATATATTTGGGGCCTCTGCACCATTGACTTTGTTCCTTGCTTTCTTTTTTGTTATTTTTGGGGAAGTGTCAGTTGCCAGAGCTTTATTTGATGTATGGTCACTATGGTGTGGGAGTGAGAATGTCTGTCCAAATCCAGATGTTACTTCTCTCACATGCATCAATGCTAAGTCATGTACTTGAGGGAGGCCTGCTGACCTTTTCCTTTTCAACCTCCCTGAGTCAACAGATGTTGGAAGATATTTCAATTGCTGAAGGTTCTGTGCTGATTTACTTGTGACATTGCTTGTGATGACGCCTCTAGCATCACATTGAGAAGATATTGTTTTGTGTTCCTTCTCAGTTCCCTTTTTGCTAAGTATAGGAAAATGTATCTCACTGGTTCTGTCTATGTCATTTCTTTCTAATGGAAGAATTGCTGGGTATGCTTGCAAAGAATCGTATCGAATTTCCCCATCAATTTTGCTAAAAAGTAAAACTTCTTTGGCTAAGCATGATTGCTGTATTTTGGAGACTCTTACTTGCATTTCCTCGGTCAATAATGCACTGCTGCTACAGTTGAAACTGTTTGCATTCTGTGTTGCATGTTGAGCTTCAGTATACTCTGTCATATCTGGAAGGTTTTTCTCTTTATCATGAGTTCCATTTGAGAGAAGGATCTTACATTCCCCACTGGTGTTCCAATCCATTGATTTGTTGTCATATGTTGAGTCAGTCTTGCTAGGAGTTGAAGGCTCAGGAGTATGTCTTTCTGGCTGTGAATAAGCAGTTCTCAGTTCATGCAGTTCTTCATTTGCTTCTCTGTGTTGTCCAAGCTGTATGGTTGGCATTGATTGGTCTTGTTTGCAGAATTTTTGCACATCTGGGTCATCGATGTTTGAAGATGGCTGAGTGGAATTATCATCTGTGACTAGCTCCTCAAATTGAAATTTTAGATGTCTCCTGCAGGATCTTCTAGGATGAGAAACTGTTTTTGGCTCAATAGTTCCACAGCTTCCCTTTTCAGTCTGATCAATTGGTGACTTATTGACTTGATTTCTTTGAACATACTTTCTCTTGCCTGTTGGGGTTTCATTTGAGCTATTGGATTTTGTCTCAGGATCTGTAACATTTGAACCCTCATCTGATGGAGTGCCTGCAAATTTGTTGACTACTTTCCTCAGGATATTCTTCCTTTTGCTTTTTGGTGTTTCATTTGAACCAGGAGACTTTGTCTCGGGATCTATAGCATTTGAACCCTCATCTGATGGAGTGCCAGAAGAATTGCTGACTCCTTTTCTGCGGACACACTTCCTCTTGCATTTTGGGGTTTCATTTGAACCAGGAGACTTTGTCTCAGAATCTATAGCATTTGAACCCTCATCTGAAGGAGTGCCTGCAGAATTGTTGACTCCTTTTCTCCGGACACACTTCCTCCTGCATTTTGGGGTTTCATTTGAACCAGGAGACTTTGTCTCAGAATCTATAGCATTTGAACCCTCATCTGAAGGAGTGCCTGCAGAATGGTTGACTCCTTTTCTCCGGACATTCTTCCTCTTGCATTTTGGGGTTTCATTCGAATCAGGAGACTTTGTCTCAGGATCTAGAGCATTTGAATCCATGTCTGACGGAGTAACTGCAGGCTTTTTACCTCCTCTTCTGCGGACACACTTCCTCTTGCTTGTAGGGGTTTCATTTGAACTAGGAGGCTTTGTCTCAGAATTTATGACATTTGAACCATCATCAGATGGAGCAGCGGCAGGATTGTTCACTTCTTTTCTTCGGACATACTTCCTCTTTACAGTCTGAGTCTCCTCTACGCCAGAATTCTTCGGGGTTCTTGGTTTATATGTCCTATTAGGTTTGCCTTCTATGACAACCCTTGGCCTGTGCTTCTTTCTTCTTGGTTTCTGCTGTGGTGTCTTATTCAGTTTACTACCTGGGCTGTCCCCATAGTCAGGCTTGTGGTTCTCTGGCTCCTTCACCAGCTCCGACACCTCTTTCTTTTCGAGCTTGTTCTCCTCGCTATTTTCCTGAGCATCTCTTGGTATTAGTATCTGTCTATCATTATTGTTTAGATTTAGTTCATCAGAAACTTGTCCTCCATCTTTTGTCTTGGTCTGATCCGGAGTCCTGGGTGTAAATGGGGATGAGCTATTACTGCTTGAGGTCACATCTACAATTCCAGGAGGGGGATTCTGATTGAAAGGGATACTTGAGCAAATTGAGCTTCCACCTGCACAATGCATTTAATTTTCATTTTTTTAGTTCGAGGGAAATATTGTTGTGAGAAAAATAAGCAAATATATTACACTATATTAGTTGGAAGATAATGCTCAAATTGATACCTGACATCTTTGAAAAGCAGAGGGCATTGAAAGCTTCCTTAGCAGCTGCATTTCCAGCCGCACCAGTGCCACCTGCAGCATCCGCAAGTGCCAAGATATCCACAAACTTCATGTTGCTCAATTTTTCTGTGTCACCCGTACACAATATGTCACGCACATTCATAGCTTCTGCATGCGTTTGGGAATTTGCATTTGCAGGAGCTGCTGCTTCGCTCTTGTCAAAGCCCCCGTCTGTAAGTACATTCTTCACGCAATCCCCAGTTAAGCTGTGATCCTCGTTCGATTGCAAGAGTCCTCTTGATTTTAACTGCCCCATTTCGCTCACAGAGCATTCTTGAGAAACACTTTGCAACTCTAATGAGGCCTCCTGAGCTAGTTGATTTCCCTGACCACTTTCGCAGATCAGAAAACTGGGCTTTGCTGGGGTGGATGGAATCCAAGTTTTCTCTTTAGGGAAATCTTTCACTTCCGGAATGGAAATTTTGGAATCCATTTCTCAACTCAATCCTCAGATGTGAACACAGGTAGAAACCTGTTCTTTATTCCTTCTGCCCCTGTTTATTATTCCAGTAATTTTTTCTCCGGACACTCCCAAATTTGTAACTAGCTAAACATTCATTTCATAAAATCTCCTGATAAAAACAATAAAAATAAATAAATAAAAAATAAATAACAAATAATAATAATGATTAGAATTATCATCTTGGGATAATAAATTAGTGATAAAAACAGATACTAGAATTTATTTCTAGCCCAGAATTCTTAGTACACCGATTCCAAATTAACCTGAGATATCATCAGATGAAGTGATTCTATACACCACCTGATCTCTCAAACACAACCCCTCATTTGCAAATGGTGGTTGATAACTGAAATTCACCAACTCAATTGATGGTTTTGTCAAAAATTCTTTTGCTAATTGGGTAGTAGAAAATTATATGTAATGAGGAATGAATACACAGGTTATAGAAACACAGAAATAACACAAATTGATCCCCACCGTTTATCCTACCATGCAATTTTTTTTTTTTTCCCAAAAGGAAAAAAAAAAGCACAGAAAAGCATTATCTGTATGAATTATTTACTAAATTTAGCAGAGCAAAACCAGAGTGAGTATTTCTCACCTGAGAAATGAGCCATTGCTGGAGAATTACCGGTGATCTCAGCCGCTCAGGGAGAGCAACTTGTGAAGTAAAGCAGTGTGACAGAGGCTGAGAGTGTTCTATTCTAGGACAGAGAGAGAGAGAGAGAGAGAGAGAGAGAGAGAGAGAGAGAGAGAGAGAGAGAGAAAGAGGGAGAGAGAGAGAGAGAGAGAGAGAGAGAGGGTATGAAAAAAACCAAACCGAAATAGCAGGCTTTTATATTACTTAGACTGGTTGGAAGCTCACTCAACTGGTTACTTGTTTTACCGGTAAACACATATAATATAATATAATAATAATAATAATAATAATAATAATAATAATAATAATAATAATAATAATAATAATAACAATAATAATAATAATAATTTATTTCATTTGGTGTGTAAGAACTAACTAGAGTTTGGGTATTAATATAATTTTCTAAATTTTACAATAAAAGGAACTTGTGAAACAGTTTTGCATGATGCACACATATTGCTCAATTACAGCTAAACTTCCCCTCTTAAGTTGATGTTTGGCTAATGAGATGGAATAGTTGGGTGGGAGGATTGATCATTAGTGTAAGAGGGGCTTCCAAATCTTACTCCCTCAAATTTACTCTCTGATGTGGCAGGTATTGATAGGTTATTTTCTTCATGTGGACCTTTGTAAATGTGTTTAAATCAAAATTTTAAGTGAGAGTAAAATATGAAAGTAGAGAATGAGAGTACATATAATATTTTCCATTAATGTAATTTTAAAGCCATACAATGAAAGTAGTCAGCGAAGCAACAACGCGTCAACGCATAACGTATAACGTACGCGAATTTTAAGTAAACTTGTCATCGAAAGGCGAGAAGATTGATACGATTACATTAATGGTCTCACTGAATTAAGTTAACAAAAACATTGTTGTTGTTCCTAAAAGGTTGAATCTTCAACCCCAAGGGCCTGACATAGCATCTGAGATGATGTAAATCATGGTAACTCAGTTTTATATTAAAATTTTAAGTGTGGGAGTAAAAGATGGGAGTACATATAATATTTTCCATTAATGTAATTTTAAAGCCATACAATGAAAGTAGTTAGCGAAGCAACAACGCATAACGTATAACGTACGCGAATTTTAAGTAAACTTGTCATCGAAAGGCGAGAAGATTGATACAATTACATTAATGGTCTCACCGAATTAAGTTAACAAAAACATTATTGTTGTTCACCGAATTAAGTTAACAAAAACATTATTGTTGTTCCCAAAAGGTTGAATCTCCCCAAGGGCCCGACATAGCATCTGAGAGGATGTAAATCATGGTAACTCAGCTTATATCAAAATTTTAAGGGTGGAAGTAAAAGATGGGAGTAGAGAATGGGAGTACATATAGTATTTTTCATTAATGTAATTTTAAAGCCATACAATGAAAGTAGCTAGCGAAGCAACACCGCATAACGTAAAAATGTACACGAATTTGAAGTAAACTTGTCATCGAAAGGCGAGAAGATTGATACAATTACATTAATGGTCTCACCGAATTAAGTTAACAAAAACATTGTCGTTGTTCCCAAAAAGTTGAATCTCCAACCCAAGGGCCCGACATAGCATATGAGAGGATGTAAATCATGGTAACTCAGCTTATATCAAAATTTTAAGTGTGAGAGTAGAGAATGGGAGTACATGTAGTATTTTTCATTAATGTAATTTTAAAGCCATACAATGAAAGTAGCCAGCGAAGCAACACCGCATAACTTTTAAACGTACGCGAATTTTAAGTAAACTTGTCATCGAAAGGCGAGAAGATTGATACAATTACGTCTCACCGAATTAAGTTAACAAAAACATTGTCGTTGTTCCCAAAAAGTTGAATCTCCAACCCAAGGGCTCGACATAGCATATGAGAGGATGTAAATCATGGTAACTCAACTTATATCAAAATTTTAAGTGTGAGAGTAGAGAATGAGAGTACATGTAGTATTTTTCATTAATGTAATTTTAAAGCCATACAATGAAAGTAGCCAGCGAAGCAACACCGCATAACTTTTAAACGTACGCGAATTTTAAGTAAACTTGTCATCGAAAGGCGAGAAGATTGATACAATTACATTAATGGTCTCACCGAATTAAGTTAACAAAAACATTGTCGTTGTTCCCAAAAAGTTGAATCTCCAACCCAAGGGCCCGAATAGCATATGAGAGGATGTAAATCATGGTAACTCAGCTTATATCAAAATTTTAAGTGTGAGAGTAGAGAATGAGAGTACATGTAGTATTTTTCATTAATGTAATTTTAAAGCCATACAATGAAAGTAGCCAGCGAAGCAACACCGCATAACTTTTAAACGTACGCGAATTTTAAGTAAACTTGTCATCGAAAGGCGAGAAGATCGATATTAATTAGACAAGAAGATTGATACGATTACATTAATGGTCTCACCGAATTAAGTTAACAAAAACATTGTTGTTGTTCCCAAAAGGTTGAATTCCAAAGGCCTGACATAACATCTAAGATGTAAATAATGGTAACTCAGCTAAACACAGAGATTAGACCTTTGCTTACTGCGCACAAGGAGCCCTATCAGTTTGTGAGGTTGTTCCCTCACTATTGCTAGTGAGACTCAACCTCAGGTTATTGTTTTCAAACTTCAACCTTGTGACCAACTGAGCTGCCAATGCGGACTAAGTTAACAAAAAAACATGTTTGGTTGATTAGACGCAATAATTAGACAAATAGTTTGAATGTTTGATATAATTTTGAAATATTACAATAAAAATGACTATTAAATCAATTATACAAAACACAGATACATTAATGAATTACAACTAAATTTGAATAATCGCGCAATTAGTGATTCCCATTTAATATGCGTGCATTTTCTATTTAGAAGGAGACTGCAATTTAATTTTTAAAATTTTGTACCTTAAGTATTTGAATCAAATGTGGGTGCGAATGGATAATATAGCCTTTTTCTTTAGAAGGCCACCGGAGCTTCCGGTTTTGGAATGATGGAGTAGTTGTTTATTATTTTTGTTCGTGGGCCCTCCATTCAAAAATTAGTTAATAGCATCACTGCCACCACCACAACTACAACTGCCAAATCTTTTTGGTTCCTCTCTCTTCTGTGCGATTAACACGGAAGATGGGGCATCTCACTTTTGAAGCACAATAGTAACTTCTGCCAAGTCATTAGAGTTGTTTTTTCGTGTACCTTTTTTATTATTAGGTTTATTGATTTTTATTAAATTAAAATTTTAGACCTAATAACAATTATAATATTTTTTAAAGAAAAAAATAACAACTTTATAATATATTTAAAATTGTATTTAACTTACTACTTAACTCACAAAACTATAATATCAACTAATAGACAAGCTACCATGATTAGATTGTAACAAATAATATCATAGACCAGGATCCATGTTAAATTATGAATCCAAGTTCATAAAAATAATACATTAGATTTATAAAAATAATACTGCAGATTCTTTAAAATGATACCGATTAATCAATCATCACTTAAATATATAATTTTTTTTTATTTCTTTTTATATAAATAAGATCAATATGTAAAAATATAGGGAAAAGGTACAAATAGGCCATTAAACTATTTGTGGGTTAGCAATTAAGCCACCGAACTCGAATAAGCTCCAAATTGATCCATGAACCTGCAAAAAAGTGCAATTAACATTTTTAACAGGTTAACAACAAGTTACTGCTGACTAGGATGCCATGTGTAGGTCAAATGCTTAGTTTTTTTTTTTTTTTTTTTTTTTTTTTTTGTCAAATGCTGATTAGGATAATAAAAATAATAAAATAAAAATTATACGAGGCATCCTAGTCAGCAGTAACTTGTTGTTAACCTGTTAAAAATGTTAATTGCACTTTTTTTGCAGGTTCATGGATCAATTTGGAGCTTATTCGAGTTCGATGGCTTAATTGCTAACCCACAAATAGTTCAATGGCCTATTTGTACCTTTTCTCAAAAATATATATTGTTAAAAATATCTTGTTAAGATCTTTTAAATTACAATTATATTGACTTTTCAGTATATCGTTTCAATAATTGTGTGATGAAATTGCGCTAGTGACTTTATGAACTTATAATAGTGACTTTGTATATAGTGGCGGAGCCACAATGGGGACAGTCGGGGCAGCTGCCCCCCCACCCCCATTCCATTTATATATGTTGTATGTATAGGTCCCTATAAATATATAGTTAACTTATAAATATTAAATTTACATAAATATAACCAATGGATAAGTTAGCTTAGAAGAATTGAAAAGAATTGAATTTTGTATTTGTAACATTGTGTTTTTTAAATCTCATTTTTTTAAATATTAATAGTGATATTAGTGATTTATAATATGTTTTCTATTTAAATTATTTTATCTAATTAATTATATTTAATATTTTTTTTTGAATATTTGTTTTTATTTCATTTTGATGTATTTTAATTTTCATCCTAATTAACAATATTTTTGACTCGACCTCTAAGTATTTTTTTTTTCAAAATATCTCATTAGTTTTTAATCTTTCACCTCCACTGGTGAATATTTCTGGATCCGCCCCTATTTGTATACCTCACACGGTATTGACAATTTAACGAAATCTCATTTCGTCATGCACTCATCCTCACAACATGCATGGGATGGACGCAAAGGCATCGCTAGCATGACCATTGCATTGTGACACGACCTTGGCCCATAACTAGTCACTCAAGCTTTCGGATTCAGTCCACCTGAGGGCACGAGACCTCAAGCTCTAATCTATTCTACTTCAAGCGTTTTTTAAGACCGCAATTGTCATTTCGAGAGTGCAATTGCAATCCTATCCCTTTGTTACTTGGAGCGAGGGAGGTTGTGTGGCCTTGTGTTCATATTTATCTCCATGATGATCATATATGTTTTTTGTTTCACAAGATTTAACTGATATTCATAGTGAGTTGGACGCAAACTTTCATGTCCATGTTTTTTCTAAATCAAATTTTTATTAAATTTACAATGTGTTGGACAAAGACTTCGAGGATCATATTTTTCATTTACCAAATTTACTTGAAATTTGATTTTTGTTACCGCGTGTTTGGTGACATT